TTTTTATAAAGCTTAAAAAAAACCTTATTTTTTTATTTATTTTATATAAAAAGTTATATAATATTTTATATTTATTCTATTTTTAAAGTAAAATATTTCATTAATACGTAGACTTTTAAGTATAATTTTTATATTATTATAATAAGAAAAAAATCTATTATTATTATATATTTTTTAAAATTTATTATTAAATATCCTAATAATACATTTATAGGTATTTCATTTATATATTATATTGTATTATATTACAATACAATATAATACAATACAGCATAGTAAAAAATACAAAAAATACAATACATTTAGAGGTCTATACGTACCTTAACATTAAGACGGGGAAGGCATTAGTCTATAACCGCTAAAGGCATTACGAGACTATTCTATAAATTAAAAGAGCATGATTTCTCAAATACATCTTATATGCGAGAGTTATATTATAGACTTAACACACTAGCCGTTTATTATCTCCTAATTATAATAGATATCTTTAATGAAAGTGTTTGCTTAAATTACTAGAGGTGTAGAACTCCTAAATCTTATCCTTTATATAAGGGTTATTTAACTATAATAAAAGCGTAGCGCTAACGCATACAGAGCTCTTACGAATATAGTAAATACAAGTGTATTGTGTATTGTATTTTGTATTGTATTGTATTTTCGTGTATTATATTTAAATACATTACATTACATTAGTAAAATACCTATAAATGTATTTGAATTTATTTTTAATGTATATATATATATATATTATAATATATATAAGTATATGTAAATATTTTATAATTATAAAATATATGAATAAATATAAAAAAAGCTAAAGAATTTTATAATATATAATTTATATATAATTTATATTATATTAATAAAAATATTTAAAATATAAAGTATAATAAATAATTTAAATTAGTAATAAATAAAAGAAAAATAAAAAAAATATATATTAATAAGAATATATTATTATATAATTATCTTATATTATATATATATTTTTATTTATTATTTAATATTATTTTAAAATAATTAATATATATTATATATTTAATTAATTTATATGTTTATTAAAGGGTGTTCCCACTCGAACTACATGTAGAAGTACTAGAATAGCTTATAATAGCTCTAGGGTACTTAATAAATAAATAAATAAAATATATTTAATATTAATTACTAAATAAGAAAATTAAAAAAAACTATACGAATAAAAAAAATAAGAGTTAAAGCTTTAATTAAGTTAATATTCTTTATTAATTTAATTAACTTTAAAACGCTTAAAATAAACAGCTATTTACGATACACTTATATCGTGTTTAAATACATAATAATCTTCGGTCTTTATTAATAACCTTAATAAAACACCATGCAAAGTTGAAAGCTCTATGTCGATAATATGCTACCTTGTAGGGTAACTTCAGGGCATTCCACCTGCATCAAGTCCTTTCAAAAATGTCAACAGACAACACACAAACCACCAGATTTGAAGCTTTGTAATGTCATTATTCGTCACGACGCATTGTGAAACTTGTCTCCTGACCTAGTCCTAGAGCCGACATAGAAGTATATGACGCGAAAAAGGCCACGGTAAACAGGACCTGACCAGATAGGACAGGCATGTTGTGTCAGCAAAATCCTCTGCCACAGTACGAACGCGGTCAAATGAATTATTCAAAAGACTACTCACGGCGCTTGCCCAAAATGGCATTCCCAAGCCCAGTTCACGCTCGTCGCCGAGATGCGAGCCCAGGTCGAAGATTGTCGCCATTGACAAAGTTCCCAAAGACGCCCCTGCTAGCTCCGTAAGTGCTTGACCTGCGTATAGACTCGCTGTGCTGGAGCCCTGGCTCTGCGCTATATCTCCGAGAATGCCCTGCATGGCTTGCGGGAACGGAATTCCAAAGGACACGATAATTGTGCCTAACCAGCTCGGCCGTGGCTATTAGCTTGAGAGGGGCTTGTTTGCTCCAAAGAACGTAGGAAACATACCAATAACAACAAAGATGGCGCTAGTACTGAAACCAGTGATTATGTTCCCCACGGCAAGTAGAAATAGAGTTAATCTGCAAACGAGGATATCGATGCCGTCTTGGTGTGGATATCTAGCCTTCCTACTCACCAAGAAGTTCGCTGCCGGAACCAGTACTACAAGGACTACTATGGCACAGACAGCTCTAATGGATAAGAGATAGCCCGCCCGAGCCAGCGTCCATTCTAGGCGTTTAGAGGAAAACTGAAGAAGTAGAGGGCTGGACTGGATAGCAAAGGAGTGTATGAATATCAATGCAAACCAACCCAGGGTTCCGTCATTACGGCGGGCCCTGTCGTACAAACCCCTGAGGGCATCTACCATGTTTCTTTGCCCAACAGGCTCACGCTAGACACGTTATTAGTAGAAGATCGTAAGAGAGATGGCTAGGACGCGAATCATATTGGATACCTCATGTGTTCTCTCCCGATCCTGCCGTGAAATGTTGACCAAGGGAGGATTTTGGGGGAGTGACATGGTTTCCGGAAGAAGGAGTATTATGGCAAAGGACAGCAGCATCAAGGGCGAGCAAAACTTGAAGGGCAGCCAAAGGTCTTGGCTCAAGAACCACGAGCCAAGAGGCAGCGCGACTATATCAGTAATATGGATAGCAGCACCAAATATGTAAAAGACTACCGAGCTGGGAAAATGCTTAGTGCTTGTAGAAAGCTGACAAGGGAACGGGACGGCGAACCGTTTTTCTTCAGCGCAAACATCGACAATGACGCTGTTGAGCACCGCTGTGAGCATACGTGAACCGCCGCCCAAGGCCAGGAACAGCGATCCGAACCAGATGGATTCGGGGGAGAAAACGTCGTAGAAGTAGCCTTTAGTCAGAGTTAGAAAGTACACGGGACGCTTGTAGTGACGTCGTCCAGGACGCTCTCACACACGATCAGAAGCCAAACGTAGGCGAGTATTTGGCCCGCTATGCAAAGCATTAGCACAGGCTTCCTCCCCCATCGATCAGCTAGGCGCCCGAGCGGGAGGGTCAGTAGAAGGCCTGCCAGGGAGGTATTGGGATGAGGTCAGCGAGAACGCAGCTCTAGGACGCACGAGGCCAGTTTCATCCATGAGTACGAACCGGGGATGCTGTCGAGACAGCGCTTCCAAGCTCGTAGATAGGCAAGCGAGACCTGAATATCAGCTACCTTGCAGAGAGACTCATCAACATATCCGAGAGGTGGTGGCCCGATAACACTGGGATCGCGCAACGCATAGAATGCTCTGCAAACAGTCATTTCGAGTAATCGAACCTCTGGAGCGGCCGTGAGTGAGCCTCCAAAGTCGGCTACGACGGTCAGCAGACCGCATAGCAGCAGCACCGTAGCTCGGTTGTACTTTGGGGAGGAGTCCGAGTTGCAAATAGCAACAAGTGGCGCGGCTTCGTCATCAGTATAAGTGTCATCGCGAACAGAAGGCGCATAGTCTGTTTCCATGACTGCCCTACTGCACCGTGTATTGTTGGAATTCAGCATGGACACTGTCACACTGGGAAAGTAGAGCTACGAGGGCGGCATGCCGCGTATAAGACGCAGCGGCCCTCGTATCTACGTGCTGGGTTGAACCAATCCTTTCGGCAGGCTAGCAGAGGACTCGGGAGCCAGCCAGGTCCTGACGACACATGACAAGTCATTCTGGCATATCCTACCGTAGCATTGCGGGTGGGGAAGAAGGCAGGCCATTTGTGATACAACCCACACAAACAATTGGTAGTTGACACTTTATTCTAATACGTGCCCGTATACTTTGCACTCTGAGACACGGCACCATCCGTTGCATACAGAAGAAACGCTTCATTTTGCCCAAGCGGGGCATCGAATATGATCAGCGGCCACTCCGTACTCGCACAGTCATTCCAAGACCTGGGCCGATGTGCCGATGAGCCAGGTGACGGGCCTCGAGATCGCAATATTGGTATGTTGCGGCGGATGGGTGAAGCACCACAGCGCGTCGTGACTGGGCGGCAGCTTCACCGGTTGCCAGGGTTGAGCATGCCAAACTACATATGTGCATCTTCTGACGCACCCGAGGCTGGGATTAGGTCATCCGCCTCCCCTGACAAAAGCCTCTCGGTGGCTTTCTTGCGCCTGCGGCAGGTAAACAATGGCTTTTTATGCATCATTTTCAACCAGACCGTTGACGGCGGGGTACACCGCCCTTTTGCCTGGATGAAAGTGCCTTGTTGGATAATGATGAGGATAGTCTTACACTATACTATCTATTGAGCACTTGCGATTCAATTATCGTTATTAATTAAAGATGCAAAATAAGTTATAACATTTTGACATGTGCTACCAATTGAAGTGCATAACCAAGTGTCTCAGTGACCCCGCACAGCCAAAATTATCACATGTTCCAGGGAAGGGATTTGGTTTTCCGTTAGAAACAGCCCAAGGCTGTAAAGTCTTTAAACAGGACAGTCAACTTGCTTAATATCAAGGTATTTATTGTTTCCAGAAAGTCTGGAAAGTTGGCTAGGAAGCTTGCAGTGCAGTCTTGAGTGAAAATCTGCCACGCAATAAGTTAACCTACCCGAAAAATTTACTACATCTAATACATGTAGATGCAAACAAGGCCAATCATTCGCTTATCCTGTTTAGCCTCTACTTGAACACGAGCTCTTACTCTTTGACTTTACGATTGGGCTTAGACGGGTATTGAGTTATATATGAAGATGCCTAATATACAAGACAAGCTACAACTACGGTATAGCTACTTTGTCTTTTCCTGGCTATACTGCTCCACCTCGCTTGTTGCAGCTTTATCCACCAATTGGTTGACATCAACCAGGGCTGTATGGTGGCTATGGACAAGTTCAAGGGTAGGCGGGTGATACGACTTTCGCGCGCTCAGGATCCAGTTGGAGCCAGCGATGACGATGATGACTCCAAAGGCGACGACACAATAGTTCATGTTGACTGCATCGACCGGCCTTGTTGGAGGCCACACAAAGAGGACCGTCGTCAGCAGCGTCCAGGCAACGCTGGCAGCATTGCAGATATACCCCACGGTATTCGACAGCTTGAAGCTGCGGTTTTCAGGGAGCATGCACCGTCCGCGCAGCATGTTGATGCCCGGGGGGATGGCGTAGGTAATGGTAAAGCAAACGACGGCAGCCGAGATGATGGCGTTGAAGGCACTGGTGGAGCCGAGAAATACCAACCCGAGGACAATGTCCCATGCGAAACACCAGAGAAGCCCGGCCACTGGGGCGCCGACAGTCGGGCTAACATGCTCGAAATAGCTGTTAAAGGGCATGCCGCCATCGCGTGCTAGAGCGTAGGCTATGCGAGCGCTGGTAGCCATGTCGTCGATGGCACAAAGAACAAAGGAGAGAAGCGGGAACAGCATTAAGCAGATGCTGCCTGCCTTGCTCCGCGTGGCCTGGTAATATATCTCGAGGAGTGGCTGGGAGGACGAGATGGCTGACGGAACATCACCGATGACGGCGAGGACGGCAGCGATGTAGCCAAAGCCAGTAATCACCGCCATGGCGATGGCGTAGATGATGAGCCGCGGACCCTGACGAGTTGGGTTCGGCATCTCTTCGATCATGTGGATCGTAGAGTCGTATGCGGTCACAGAGAATGCACTTGATGACCGTGTTAGCTCGTAGCTTTTCAGCACGCGACGGACGGTACTTGCCCCTGCAGTAGACCGAGCTGCCAGGCCCAGCCATCGCGCCAGCCGGACTCGTTGATAAAACCGCCAAAAACAAACTTTGCGCTCTGGAAGTTTGGGGCTGCGCATGCGAGGATGGTGACGAGGCTGATTACGAAGCCAGCAAGGGTAAAGAACATGTTGTACTTGTTTAAGTGGCTCAGGAAGCGATTAGCAAGCAAGTTGTAGCTCAAGGCAATGCCGTCGACGGCAATATATAGGAGGAATCTTTGCCACGGCCTTTGCTGAAAGCCGGGATACATGAGCTCGCCATAGCTCATGATGATTCCACTGACTAGCAAGCAGTTGGCACCGGCCAAGCACACCCACGCGGCAAGGTTGATCCAGCCGGTGATGTAGCTGACGGCGCGTCTGGTCGACTTCCAGCTTGCCACGGCCGCCCAGTGGTACTGGCCGCCGGCGGTCGGATAGGCCGAGAGGAACTCGGCAAGCGAGACGCCGCTGCACATGTTGAAGACGCCGGCGATGACGATGCCCCATACGGCGCTGCTAGGTCCACCGGACGGCAGGGAGGCATTGACCGTCGTGCCAATGGCGCACCACGTATTGACAATTGCGAATGCCATCCCCAGCATGGAGAGGTTGGAGAAGGAGTTCCGGTCCAGGTCGGACTTGATGCCAAGCAGCTCAAGGGAGGCGTCGGCCTCGGGGGTGGCCTTCGGATGCCGCTGCCGGATGGTGCCCCGGTTTTCTTCCATTTAATGAGATGTGACAGGAGCTTATTATATAAGAGCCTGGAACGGCAGTTCAATTCTTGATAGTACCTTGCCTTGGCATCAAAGGTCCTCGTTTTTTCCCCAAGGGCCTTGGGGCAGATGGCCCTTGCTTACACAGAGCAGCGGTGAGCCTTTGAGCCCAGGTGCCTGAGGCCTTGGCTAGGTCTTGAGCCCTTGTGTAACTATCGTCAGGTTCAAGAGTCGGTCCGTGTCGCAATGCCGCCGCGGGGAAGCAGGCCGAAGTGATGGAGGAGACGAAGCACCGACCATGTTTGAGGGCATGCGTGGCTCTTTAAGCGTCAAATCCTCCTCGATAAGGCTCCGCCAACCCCGGAGTTTGTTCCGTTCCATGTTGCTTAGTTGGTTGTTTGTTATCTTCCGGGGTTACGCAGAGATGGAGATGAGTTCCTTTACTAAAACGAAAAGGGCAATTGGTAGCAAAGGAACACGAGCCGCCGTGGGTCCATCGATCCTGGCGCCACATCGGATTTTTGAATCTTCCTTTCCAGGTCACCCCTGACTCCCCGACTCCTTTTCCGATTCGGGACCTGCTGTTTCCCCGCAAATCGTCACTGAGGCTGAAGCCATCCGGCAAGCATCAGATTCCAATGTTCCCACCGACGCGAATCAGAATCACGAGGTCACGCAACGGGTGTGCGGTATGCAAATGCAAGAGGGTAAGCAGCCACTCGCCGTCGATCTGCCGTGTCCGGTCGCTAACCATGCGTTTTGCAGCTCAAGTGCGATGAAGCCAGACCCAGTTGCTCGCGCTGTCAGAGACTGGGCATCCCGTGCCCAGGGTACCAGAAACCCTTGAAATGGACGACAAGTCTGCGAACCCCCGAAGGGTCATCGAAATCTCCCGCCGTAAGTGCGTCGAGACCGCCTCCAAACTGGACCCTATCCGTTCAATCAGCCCCCGGCCGAACCTCCTGCCCTGTCTACCATCGACGTCTCCGGCTCCGAACTGTTGGAACAGTTCACGAACCCTATCGAAACCGGAGCCAATAGCATAACACAACATGATGGCCTTGCGTCAGATTCGCCGTTTGAGGCTCTTTCAGAGGGTACAGGCACCTCGTTTGAGCAAACTTCAGAAACAATGTCTGGTGGGGTATACCAGGCATTCAATGAGGATGGTTGCTGGCCAAATAGTTTGTTGAGCGAGACAAGGTCGGACTTCAACATGCCAACGCTCCTTGAGTCTCCAAGCCAGCCTTGGGGGTCTCGTTGCGAGATGCCGCTGGCACAGGCGCTGCAGGATCACACGTCAATCCTGGTAGAGTACTATTTCAAAGAGGTGTGCGGAATGATGTCTTGCTACGACAGTCAAATGAACCCATACCGAACAACCATTTCCAACATTTGGTCCGGCTCCCAATCGCTCTACTACGTCACTCAGAGCATGGCTGCTGCATGTCTTTCCGATGTCATGCCCGGCCTTTCTTCTCTCGGTAGGCAACTCCGAGACCAGGCAGCGCTGTGCCTGTCGATGGAAGCTCGAGAGTCTCAAATGGAAACCTCATCCCTGCTGGCATTAGTCATGCTCGGAATGAGCCTCAGCTGGCACGACCCTGATAGCGTAGGCCAGCTGGAGTTTGAGATACTCGCCAAGACGGTCTCGTCTTCTGCCAACTGTCAGATCAACTCTCCTCTGGCCCATAAACATAAACGCGTCTTTTTCTACAACTCTCTTGTCTACTGGCAGATGCTCCTAGCATTCGTTACCGACCAGGAACCCAATCTCCAGGGCATCACCCAAAACCAACCACAGCCAGCCCAATTCGAAGGGCCAGAAACATCGGAATCCTACATACCACATCCCCAAACGGGCATCGGCATCGAGGCTCAGAGGCTCGTGGCAAGAGTGGCAAGCCTTGTTCGAAAAGAAAGAAGACGTATTCGCAATCGCCAGTTTGCATCTAGAAATGATATCGATCAAGCCAAAACAGCCATTCTTGACGCGGAGCGCTTGCACTCCGAGCTGTGCGCAATTCAGCTGCCGCGCGAGGATGAGATTGTCGACTCGGGTGACGAGATGACTCCGGCCGATCATCTGCTCAAGGTTGCCGAGGCATACAGGTGTACTGGCTTACTACAACTCTACCGCAACTTTCCAGATCTGTTGTCGTCCTATGCGTCATCATGTAAACAAAAAACCCAGTCCGTCAGCTCAAGCACCCGTGAGGACTCTCGCCCCAGCTCAGATGCAGCATTTTCACAAGATGTGTGGCTGACTGGTTTGGCCCTGCACATTCTCGATTTAATACAGGATATTCCTACATCATCGAGGAGCCGGTCCATCCAGCCATTGCTGTTTGTGAGCATCTGCAGTGAGTTGGCTCTGGGTCGTGGGGCTCTCTCGCTTCCCGATGTGTTGATACCGCCCGTGGCAAGCATTGCCACCAGCCCACGGTTTAAAGCACCAGCGACTGACCTCGAAGTCTTGCGTGCAAGGAAGTTTGTCATCTCGCGCCTCTCGTCCTTTGAAAACATGCTAGCCGCGAAGCCCATACGTCGAATGCTGCTACTGGTTAAAGAGACTTGGAAGTGCATGGAAGAGAAACAGCAGAATGTATACTGGATGGACGTCATGATGGAAAAGGGCTACGAGACCCTTATGGGCTAAGCTACAAGGCGAGTACTCATGTTACCACCTGGGGCTGTGGTTGCATGTGTCTTTGTTGTATGATACTATTTGGGGGCGTTTTGTGCTCGATGGCAAAGTGAAGTGGGTAGGCATGTGAAGGACAACAATATCCTTTTTCCTGTGCTGGCACGGGGCTTCGTTTGCTTAAAGCATCGCGTAAACGACGGCTAGGCCCCGCTGACAGACATTAGACGATGCATCTATTCACCAGACCATATGACAGTAGGGACCCGAGCCCATCCTTGTTCATTTTCATTTGCTTCTTTATCCCACAAACCTTGAGCAAGGGATTTCCCATGGTGAATTCGGTCTGCTCCGGCGGTTCCAAGTTATGCAGTCAATATTATTTTCGACTACACGAATTATCACCCCGGGGACAGCGTCAGCGCCGTCTTGGCTCAGTCAAACCGGCTCGTCATCACCAGCAGTGACTACGTGTCATCTCTCGAGGGCCTATGAAACACGCGCTCCGTGCAATGGCAGCCTATACCGTCGAAGCTTAAGAATCTTTTGGGCGTTGTTTGACGAGTTGACACCACATGATGTCCTCCTTTTTAGAAGCCGTGCCATTCTATTATGGGCACTTGTCGCCTACGGTTATTCCAAACTACATGCGAAGTAGATTTTTTTTTTTTCTCTTCTTTTCTTTTCTTTTTTTTTTTTTTTAACTACGCTTTGGGGAGCACATCGTGTGCGCCAAAGACATCAGCAAACGGATCATTCAAAGGGTCCGGCCCATGTCTATACTCCATGTAGTCAGTCACTTTCTGCACCAAGCCAGGATACTCGTCCTCGCGGTAGACGTGTTTCAGGAACGAAACCATGCCATCGACTCCCGCGCTGACGCCCGACGTCGTCCACACCTTGCCGGCCACGACGAACGCGCGCGCGCCACCCAGTGTGTCTTGGGGCCGCACTCGACGACTTGTTTCCAGACGGCATTGTTGGACGTGGCGCGGAGACCATCCAGCAGGCCTGCCCTGGCTGCCATGGCGGAGCCCGTGCACACGGTGAAGAGGTACTTGAGTGACGGGAAGACGGCTTTTAGAAAGCTGATTTCGGGCTCGACCTGGTCTGTTGGGAGGCTGCCGAGCCCGCCGCCAAGGACCAAAACGTCCAGCGGGGGTGCTGTGTCGAAGGTGTGCGTGGGGAGATGGAATTGCGAGGCTTTTAAGTGGAAGCCGTTGGTGGGCTTGGAGCGAGGCGGCCCCTCGTTGAGGTTGGCGGGTGATAATCTCATGGGTACTTGGCGGTCGGTGTGGACTGGGCGACCGATGACGGAGAGAGTCAGTTTGGCGCCGGGCAGGCACTCGGCGAGTGTGTTGAGACACTCGAGGGGACCGGCGATGTCGAGAACCCCGAATCCGGGGTAGAGGAGCACGCCATAGGATACTGGAGGTGCGCCCATACCTGATGAGGTCAAGGCCGTCAACGACCGAGATGCTTGCAGTAAGCGGTGGGTCGTAGAGATGACGGAGGAGCTTAAGAGAACATTGAAGGAAATAAGCACCAAATGAAGGGATTGATGGCGGGAAAAGGCAAAATGCTGGGCGATTTTTTGATGCAAGAGGGGAGTTGCAGGTGACAGAGACCATGAAGAATGCAATCTTGAGCAGATTTTCAGGTTGGAAAATGTCCCGAGAGGATCTGTTGCGTCACGCTGTTGTTCCAATGCAACACGGCATTTTGTCCGGGCCAAGAAGCAGTCCAGTTGGATACTGATGAAGTCGACTCTGGGCATAGAGCATGGATGGGCATAGCCAAGCCTCAATATAAATGCGAAGCGCCGAATCGGCTCGCGCTATTCCGGAACGATGGTAGCCGGCCGTTTCGGCTCAGCTCGGAAACTGGCAACCACCTCCGGAAAACTGGTGCGATTTGGCGTTGGTGATGTGATTTGGCGACGTCTAATTATCTAACCTTGGCGCCGGCAAACCACTCGTGTGGACCATGTCTGTGCGATTGACGGTTGTGGAAACGCTTAGATGGCTTCATTATTCCGAGATTCTTATCTGTTTCCCCGAACTGGCGAGCAGGTTGGCGGGAATTTTCCAAGGTCCACCCCGGATGGCCCCGCGAATTCACAAGGGATTGCATGGATTACTGGGCATCGTTCCTGCAGATGTATCGCGGGCGGAGGGGGTTCCTCAACGGGTGATGCTGCGCTCTGGGACCGGGCTTGATGCTGTCTGGTTGGGTTTGAGCCTTGCAAAGCCGCTGAGTTTAAGGATTTTATGAAAACCGGGCCTCTTAACTAGTCTTTTTCATATTACCCTGCCGGGGTCCGCCTGCAGCTAGCTCTAGCATCAACATCAATCAACACCACATGTGAGGTTCACGATGCATTTACACGTGAATAGCGTAAGCTAGTTTTTTATAAACTGGTAGCTAATGAGTGTTTTGATCTCTGATTGATTAAATACTGAAAAAGGTTTTCATTATATTATACTATATTAAGGAGGTAAAGCAGGAAGCTGCAGTCAGCTTGGTTGCTTGCCAACGTGCCGTTCCACCCTACGTCGGTCACTAATTTCATCCGCTTTTCCTAGTAAACAGAGTCCGAAGAATTCTCTCTTGGAGCAGCTGCGCAGATGTGACCTACAAGGGTTTTGCACATGTCCAAAAGAGTCGGCAGTGTGAACACTGACAAGCCATACTCTCAGACAGGAACCTCAGAAATATCCAAAGACACAATAAACGCATTCGGCTTCAAATATAGCCCATAGAAGGCACTCCAAGTGCGAATAGTCTGTAAATTGATTCACCGCCGTCATTCAAGACCTCAAAACTCATATAGTTCAAAAGAGATATCATTACAAGCAAGTAGCGTTTATACCATCCACAACATATCAATTTCAACCAAATGAATACCGAGACCTCGTCCACAAATCTCTTCGCAGCGCTGTGAGAATTACTGCAAACCAGCCTGTTCCTCGCTCACGACAGTCAACAGTTTATACCTGCTTGATTGCCCCCCGTTGCTCTAGAATCTCCGTTGCGAGCGTTCGTAGACTTGCTGCTTGTGTGATGGCGCTTAGAAGCAACTCGACGCCCGTCTCCCTGCGGATCCAGTTGCGCAACTCGACAGACACGAGTGAGTCCAGATTATACGATGCCACGGGCGCATCGGCCAGCACCTCGTCGCGCTCCATGATGGCCATGGCCGCAACCTTGGTGATGAGTGCCTCTGTGAGGCCCTCTAATGGGTTCTCAGCCGCTGTCCAAGACGTTGAATACATATCCGCACCTCCACTTCCGCCGGCTCCGTCTCTCTTCTTCTTGTCGGCCTTGAAGCGCTCTATTGCATGCACCGGATGAAGATACTCCCATGGTCCATCTTGTACTGCCTTGTTGTCAAGATAGAGTTTGAAAACGGCCGTCTTGCCGTCGTGATAGAAGTTTGAAGACTTGCTAATAATGGCTTTGACGATGGTCTGTATATTGGCCATTGTCAGCGTTGCGCCTAGCGTCTCCTGAAGAAGGCTGCTGAGGCTTCTGTCAGCGACGTAACCCACGTCCAGAACCACGGGCAGGGCAATGGAAACGGTGTGCTGGCCACGGGCGTTGCGATACTGGGCAAAGGCGTCGTAAAAGGCCTGATTGTCTTGTCAGCATTCAAACCAGCCTTGGTTGGGCTGCTGTCTTTGTGAACTTACTGCTGTACCGGCATAGATGGCTTGCCCGCCGTTTCCGGTGTCACCGAGAAAAGACCCGAGAGCTATGAAGAAGTCGAGGTCGTCAGGCATGAGCTCGTGGAGGTTCCATGCACCCTGGACTCGAGGGCCCATGACAATCTCCCAGTCCTCGTAGGTGGTATTCTCAAACAATTTATCCTGTCAAGTCGAGGCTTAGTTCATGTACCGGATGGGAGTGGCTTTCTTGAATAGGAGGTATCTTACGCTAAGGAGAAGAGCACTGTGCACAACACCACGAACGGGTGGAAGATCTCGAATGGACTCGACAACCTTGGCGAGTTCCGCTCGAGATCCGACGTCGCAGGCCAGAGCTCGAACGTTGATGCCAGTTGCGTCGTATTTCTTCAACAACTTCTGAACTTCTGCGCCGGAGCTACCGCTGCGGCCCAGAACAACAACATTTCGTGCTCCATTGTCAATCATCCAGTACGCCAGACTCAGACCGATGCCGCGGGTTCCTCCAGTTATCAGATAGGTCGCGTCGCTCTTCAACGAAAATGCCGTCGGCCGTAACGCACTCTCAGCCATGACATTTTGATCTGGACCCAACGTTATGACGATTTTGCCCATGTTTTCACCGGACCGAAGCTTGCGTAGACCCGTGGAAAACTGAGAAATTGGTAAAACCGATACAGGCTTGATAGGAACAACGACGTGACGCCGAAGTAGCTGCACCACCTGGCCAAAAACGTCCTTGACCTCTTCCGGTCGATGTTGAAACAGTCCACGCAGATCGATGCTGCTGAAGGAAACGTTCTTTTCAAACGTTCTCATGGGCAAGCTGTTATTCTGAAAGGCGGCCTTTTTGTCGATTTCCACGAATCGGCCGAATCGCGCGGCCAATGCCCAAGTGTCGGCCAGGAGCTCTCCGCCAAGCGCATTCACAATGACATCCACACCCTTTCCTTTCGTCGCACACAGGATACCATCTCTGAACTGAGAGTTGCGGCTCGAGAATATCTGGTCTGAAGGAACCCCCAGTGTCTTGTGTAGAAACTCTCTCTTGTCACCGGTGCCCGCCGTTGCGAATACCCGAGCCCCTAGATGCTGCGCGATAACAACACACGCCTGGCCTACCGCCCCAGCCGCCGAGTGAATAAGCACAGTCTCATTCTTTTGCAGACGAGCGGTGCGGACCAGTGCCAGGACGGCAAGAGAGTATGCTAGCGGCATGCTGGCAGCATCCGTGATGCTAATGTACCCTGGAACTCTGGCGGCATGCCATGCCGGCATCTTCTTATACGTCGAAAAGGCACTTCCTTCCAGCGCCAAGAAGAAGACATTGTCGCCCTCTTGCAAATCTGCCACCCCGGAGCCCACCTTGACGACCTTGCCGGCTCCGTCAAAGCCTGGCGGAGCCCAGGAAATGGCCCCCAGCACGAGATCGAGGTCTCGGTGGCCGACGCCCACCGCTTGGACTTGGACGATGATGTCGTCCTCGCCAAGCGGCGTTTGCAAGTCGTCGGTTCTGCGAAAGTATATGGAGTCGGGGCTGCCGGCCACATCGATTGTCATCTCCAACGCGCCATCGCCTTTCCAGATGTTTTGTTCTTTGCGGAACGAGACGCCTTGTTCTACGGCGAATTGCTCCTTGGTGTCCTTCAGCATGCGCATGCGAGGCAAATGGATCGAGTCCTTGTGCCACACAAAGTCCTGGTCCTGAGCGCGCGTCATCTCCGAGTCCACCAGTGTTCTCATCAGCTTTAGAATACCAGAGAGGCCCCGTTGCGTGTGTGGCACTTGGTCAAATGAAAGGAGGCTCTTGTTGCCTGCCTCGATCCGCAGCGTGCGAAGCATGCCTTTGATGGACTTGCACTCGGGGACGTCGCCCTCGGGAATAACCCACAGGAGCCCTGCGTTGTGTACGAGCAAGCTCTTGATGGTGTGAAATCTCTCAGCAGAGACGTCCCGCAGGAGAGGCGTCTCCGGCGAGTCAATCACGATGTAGTACGAGTTATTCGAAAAGTCGACCTCGGCAAGGGGCTTCGTCTCGACTGCAAAGCCAAGGTCTGATATAGCGTCCGCCAGGTTCTCGGCAAAGGCGACTTCTTCATCGTCAATCAACGGCCCGCAGACAACGACAGGCCCCGTCTCTTCCTGGCGGTCCACTTTGCTCGAACACATGATGCTCATCGTCTGATCGCCAGAGCCAAGACCGCCCTGGATGCAGGCGTCGAGTCCGGAGAAGCCAGTGTCTACGAGGAGGCGATTCCACACGTCTGTGGGCATCATGGGTCCCTCCTCGAGGTCACGGTAGTCATCTTCGGCATACCACCAGCCAGGCAGCAAAACAAACGGCAAGGCCAATGCCGGGTGATGGTTCCCCTCCAGCACGACTAGTTTGCCCCTTGGCTTCAGCAGAACCCGCAGGTTGTTCATCGTGGTGGACATGTTCTTGGTCGCGTGGAGCACATTGGCCGCGATGACGACGTCGAATTCCTCTGCTTCGAATCCTTGGGCAAGGCAATCCTGGCTGATGTCGAGCTTCTTATACGTGATGCGCTGCGCCCACTTGGCCAATTTGGCTCGAGCGTTTTCGAAAAACCCAGAAGAAATGTCCGTAAACGTGTATTCCAGAAAGGCGCCCTGCTTGGTACGCCTGGACAGAGCCTCGAGAACAGGCAGCGACGTACCGGCAGTTCCGGCTCCGATTTCCAGGATGCGCAGGTTTGGCTCCAGATCGGAAATGCCGAGGACCACGTCGCCGAGGACCTTGCTGAGACGCTCATTCACCACGTCCGCCTCGTAATGGCGTGTGAGGAGGCCGTCTGCGAGCATGATTTCAAGCGGTTCTACTTGCCCTCGCAGGATCGGCACCAGGCGCTCGCCAACGGCGCATAGCATCTCACCCTGCGCATCGTGACGTCGCACCTTGTCAAGCAAAGCCGTTGGCTCGGTATCAAACTCGACCTTGTTTTTGGCAATGTATCGGGTTGCCCAATTCACAAAACGTGCCAGGTGGAATGGCAAATTCGAGCGATCATCCCCCTCCGTCTCTTTCAGTCCGTGAAGGAGGTAGTATGACGCCACGATTTCTAGGTTGCGCATGTGCATGACTTGGGCCTCTTCGAAGCTGCCAACATGAAACTTCCTCGATACCTCGTCTGGCTCCATGAAGTCGATTTTGGGCAGCAATTCCCAGACCCAGTTGTCCGGGAGACTGGCCGCCGGGTCAGCATCTTCGTCGGCCGATCCGATGGAACGGAACGACACAGACTCCCATTCTGCTACGGGAGCGAGCGAGCCATCCGCCTGTCTTAGGAAGGCAGAGACGCTGATACGCAGCCGTCCGCCCTTGACGTCGTAATCCAGCAAGCGTGTGACGATGTCGAAGCGCTGTTTCGGGCCTGCTGGGATCTTGTTGGAGATTCTAAAGCGACTAATGTAGTTGGGCATCTGCGCGGGCCGCCTTCCGTCCTCAGTCACCTGGAGAGGACCGCCGCCTTGAAGAAAGCCGTCTAGCGTTGGAGGATCGACAGTAACATGGGAGCCGTAAGGGCCGGGGATTTGCTGCCACGGCTCGAGGTCGCGAAGCCGATGCTCCAAAACGGTAAACCCATCTCCCTCGAAGAACCTCACCGAGTTGCGGAATGTTGTACCGTATTTTGTGGCCCTCACACCCGCATACTCGTATGCGTGCGCGATGTCATGCTCAATCAGATTCGGAGTTGCGTCTACAAGCGGCAGGGCCACTTGCAGCGTCGGGGTTTCAGTAGTCATCTCTGCCGTCTCAGGCTCGATTCGACCGTATGCATGTATGGTCCATCCGGTGGCCTGTTTCCAGGTGGAAATCTCAAACGACCAAGTCGTCGACGAGAACGACCCGGTCCCGAGAGCAGCGGGCCAAATCCTCGTCACCATGTCGACGGACTCCTCTTCGTGAATCTCCATGCTCGTGACAACGTGGAAATCTTGGATGAGAAAAGCCGCCGCCGGGGCAGTCAGTGCCCTCCTTGCAGCCTCGATAGCGCACGACATGTATCCCGTCATGGGGAAGATGACTGCCCCGGCCACCACGTGGTCCCGAATCCAGGGCATTTCGTCGAGATTGAAGACCTGTCTGTATATATGCTGCTTCCCTCCGTCGGTGGCGACTCTCCTTCCCAGCAGAGGATGAAAAGTCTCTCCCGGGAAGAGTTTCTGGTGAGTGGCCCGCGGCCTGACCTCGTAGCTCACAGACTTGTCCCACGCATATGCAGGAAGGCCGGTGACTACATGAGCATTATGCATGGTAGTTTGGTTGACTTGGTCGAGAAGTATCGGGACTCCCATGTTGAAAAGGGCTCCTGCAAGGCTCAGGAGCGCGTCAATGCCTTTTGTTCCCCGTACAAGCGAGGAGAGATACGTGAACGACGTCTTGAGCCCTGGCTCAATTTGGGCGAGCTCTACAGTTTGCTTGATCGGATTCTTCAGAGCAGCGTGCGGGCCGATTTCCAGAATCACGTCTGGAGCAGTATCCCTGACAGTACTTGACTTGACGTTCTTCCGAGACGCAAGCATGCTTTGGATGGCACTTGCAAATTTGACCGGCCGGACCAAGTTTTGGACCCAGTACGAGGCATCGAGGCCATTTTCTTCCCATACGTGTCCGGTGACCGAGGACACAAATTCAGGGCTAGATATATCCTCTGGGGCTCTTACATGCTGTTCAGCTTGACAAAAAGGCTGGATTGCCTCGAGATAAAAGCCCGCCACCTCTTCCATGTGCCGGGAGTGGTATGCCATTTGTACTTTTAGCTTGCGAACAAACAGGCCCTCTGCTTCTGCAGCTTTTCGAATGTGCTCAATGGCGAGCTGGTCGCCCGAGATTGTTACGCTCTTTGGGCTATTGATTGCGGCTACGGTCGCATAATGACCATTTGCGTGTTGCTCGATCAGTGTCGACGCCTCTTCGAATCCGACACCAACAGCCAACATGGCGCCTTGTTGTTTCTGCTCACGGGCCAAGAGGGCCGCTGCCTGCCCTCGGAAATATGATATGGCCACGGCGGCCTTGAACGTAATCAAATTTGCTGCAAAGGCCGCAGCTATCTCTCCACTAGAATGGCCTGTGACTGCCGTCGGGTTGATGCCCCAGCTTCTAAGCAACGTCACCAGCGCAAGCTGCACCGCAGTACATGCCGGTTGGCTAATCTCGGCTTCATCGACTCGTGAGTCATCTTGCGTCTTGCTAAGCTCTTCAGTCAAGCTCCACGGCGCTCCCATAGCTCGCAGATGCTCTTCGGCTTCGTCAATGGCGTTGGCAAATACTTTATAATGTCGCAGGCCAACAGCCATGCCGGCGTATCTGTAATGTCAATACATGTAAGTGTATCCCCTGGTACCAAGACGAAATTACAGAGCATTATACGTACTGTGCGCCTTGGCCTGTAAAAGCAAATGCAATGGCGTGATCTTTGGCTCGCGTGGGTTTCGCCGTCGACAGCTTCTCCTGAAGGGTGGCGACCGAATCGGCAACAGCAGAGACACGATAAGGGTATTGTGTGCGGCGCTGACCTAGAGTGTAGCTGAGGTTTTTGATGAACTCGTCGGGCTCGGGAGCCTCGTCAAGGTATTCGTCAAAAGACGTCAGGTAGGAAATCAGACTCTTCTCAGTCCGCGCAGACAGCACAAACAGGCGCGGATCCTCAGTTCCGGCACTCTCACTGCTACATCCATTTGCCTCAGTTGCTCCGTTTGATTGGTGCAGGCCATTCGTCCCGTCACTGCCATTTGTAGCATTTGTCAGACGAGCACCATGATATCCATTCGTACCGTTGGTCCCATTTACGCCGTGAATGCCGTTCAAAGTGCTCGTGCCATTTGTCCCATTTGGCACCCGTTTGGGCAGCCACGCTGAGGCGTCTTCCAAAATAATGGCAGAGTTACTTCCACCGAAGCCTGACCTTGATAGTCAGTATTTTTTTGCGCAACTGAGCGCAAGGGAGGAGTCCAAACATGACAAATAAACCCTTCACTTACCAAAGTTTGTTACCATGACTCGTCTTGGTTCTTCACTTGGCCATGGAATTGGGGCCGCGGGTACCACGAGCTTCTCCTTTCCTTGGATCCTAGGGTTCATCTTCTCGAATCCTGCCGTTGGCAAGATTATGCCGTTTTCGATCATCAGGATTGCCTTGACCATGCCGAGAATCCCGCTAGCTCCCTCTAGATGTCTGGACAAAATGGTCAATTGGGATTTCCGCATGTTGTATGAAGCCTTCTAATGACCACATCACTCACCCGAAATTGGATTTCACAGATCCAATATAAATGGGGTTTGATGAAGTTCGGTCTTTCCCCAGCACGGCGGCGAAAGCACCAGCCTCGATAGGGTCACTATCAAGTTTGTCAATTCTCTCCGGTCCCCTTTTATCTGCTGAAGGGCATGCTGACATACCCGGCTGCTGTTCCTGTTCCATGGCCCTGTCTCAATGCTTAGTAGAATTCAAGAATATGTTTTGAAGAGGGCCAATATTGGAGCGTCTTACTTCAACCACAGGAGTCTGTGAAGGATCCAGCCCAGCTTTCTCGTGAACTGTCCGAAGTAACTCCCGATGTGCCACGCCGTTTGGCATGGTAATTCCCTCGGAACGCCCGCCATGATTGCAGGCTGAGCTCCGAATCACGGCATGAATTGGATCGCCATCACGGATGGCGTCATCTATGCGTTTAATGAGAAGACATGCGGCACCCTCACCGCGACCAAAACCCGCTGCCTTTTCGTCATACGAGTAACTCCTCCCATGCGATGACAGCGCTCTGTTTGATTTTTGCTTCGTGGTCAGTTATGAAAAATACAGCCAGAACCACGGAGCTTCACGTACCCTGTTTTCTCAAGGGCAAGCCATCCGCCGGGGCCCAGGGATAGCGCTGCTGCTCCGACAAACGCAGCATTGCATTCGCCGTTGCGAAGTGCCGAAACAGCCTGGTGTGCGGCATAGACACTGCTTGCACATGCGGCGTCGAGGGCAACGCTCGGGCCGTCAATGTCAAAGAAATACGAGAGGCGGTTTGAAACCATGCAAGGTGCAACACCGGTTGCGGAAAAGGTATTGGCAGCGTGGTGGTCGTCGCCGAGACGTTGCGAATACTCGTGCTGGCCGGACCCTATGAAGACGCCGATCTTTTTACCGGCAAGATCGAGCAAGCTCTTGCCAGCATCTTCAGCTGCCTCCAAAGCACATTCTAGCATCAGTCTATGTTGTGGATCCGATGTCCGAGCCTCCTCGGCTCTCATGTGGAAGAATCCGGCATCAAAGGCATAGATGTCTTCAGGTAAAAAGTGCGCTCCCTCGGCCCTGAAGACGCCAGATCTGTCCCCTCCAGGTTTCCAGTACGCCGAGGAGTCGAACCTCTCTTCAGGAAACTTGGACCAGGCAGACCTGGCCTGCTCCAAGTATTCCCACAGTCCTTTCCTCCCAATACCAGGCGCACGGTAAGACAGGCCAATGACGGCAATAGGAGCATCTTGATCCATGGTGTCTTGTTTGTTTTTCACGTGACCCGGCTAAGATTATAGTGTTCTTTAAGGATATGGGAGCGATGGGGTCTACCAGGCATCTACACCTCAACTACACCCTGGGTCATCTTTTCCTCTATATATGCTGGGTGGTGACATGCAAGTGTAAGGACATTCCAACGTAGCAAAATGAGCCTCAGCAGACACTTGGAGGCTTCTGAGAAGCGCCAAGCCTCTGTATTGGACGCCCTGTAGGGAAGGGACTTCTGGGCTTACCAGGATTTCATGGGCACGCTCCATGCTTTCCCCTGGCTTCCAGCTATTCCCGATTTCTCCCAACTCTCAAGTGCTCCTCTGACAAGTTCTGACATTGTTTTCTTAAAATGGTGGCCAGGACGCCGAGGACAAGGTTCTGATAACAAATAGTCTGACTAATATTCAAGTCTTGTCACTTCTCAAACAATAATTGCACCGCGTATTCTGGCATGTCAGCACCTGTACAAGCAGCATGCAAACTTGCATTAGCCGAATAAGCGGACACGATGTCTTCAGAACCAAAAGGGCCGTGATAATGCTCACCATCTACACCATCTGCTTATCGTTGACCAATCCATGTGTAGAGTGCTTCCTAGTGATAACCGTGGCGCTAGGCCTTATTCCAATATTGCACCGTCTATATGAAGACAAGGGGTGAGTCGTATCATACTTTACTACCGCCACGTCCTAGAGGAGCTGTCAGCATGCATGAGGGACAATGGGTAACAATGGAAAGGATCTTGTCGGGTACGCCACGCAAACGTCAGCATGCAGGAGCCAACATGTAAGTAAGCCTCATACACTCGACTCCTCATTGCAGTTGTCAGACTGACATATTGGTCCAACAGTGCGTATTGCAAGTCCCGCCCCAGATGTTCATGTAACATGCGGAGTAATTTCGGAAAAGATTTCTGGAGTGTAACTAATATGTTCAACAATGGCCTTTGGGTCGCTGCAAAAAGCCAAGCATGTTTAACCTTTAGGAAAGCATATAATTTTAGATCCGATGAGGCTCAAATCATCACATAGAGACTATTATCGGCCCAAGATGCCAGTGACAGGAATAATTAGTAATGTTGAAAAACAATCCGTCATCCACTATCATTACATTTCAATGACTAGCTTGCCAAATTGTTTCCCACCCTTCAAGTCTTCAAACAAGCCGTCAATGGCATCGACGCAATCCAGACCCTTGACGGTTCGACTAACTATGGGCTTTATCTTTTTTTCCTGGATAAATCGCACCATATCCCTGAATTCCACTCTGGACCCCAGAGTGCTCCCTCTCAATTCTATATTCTTCAAAACCGCCTGCATGGGCCAGTCCATCAGCGGCCCTACCGTCATGCCATAGCTGGCGATGACTCCTCCCGGTTTGAGGATGGGCGTAGTTTTGATAACAACGTCACCGCCTGCTCCATCAACGACGGCATCCAGATAGGGTCGTTCCTCTGGCAGTTTCTGACTTAGCTTCTTCGGCCAATCGTCATCCTTGTATATTACGCCGTCCCTTGCCCCCAACTGCACGGCCTTGGCGATCTTTTCCGCCGACCCAGACGTCACGTACACGTTGCACCCGAATTCCAGGGCAAACTGGAGCGCCTGAAGGGCTACACCTCCGCCTATGCCCGTAATGAGGATATTGCGCCCCGGCTTCGCATTCTGCGACTTGGCAACGAGAGCACGCCAAGCTGTCAATCCGCAGGACGGTATGGCAGCCCCTTCCACGGCACCAAGATGCTCCGGACACTCTTCGACCTCGGCCTCATCAACGACAATATAGTGCTGGGCGGCTCCTAGATGAGTGTATGGCTCTGTGCCGCCCATGGTGCTGAACTTGGCCCAGTCCTCCGGTCCGTCTAAGCTTGCGGACCATCCGCGACATGGCGTCAGGAGTACTGCCTTGTGTAGAAGACCGGCTGTGCAGCCAGGCCCTTCTTCAACGACTGTTCCGTAGCCGTCAGACAGCAGAGGAGCCTTGAAGGATATATTTGGGTAGAGATTCTGACGTATAAACAGGTCGCGGTGATTCAAGCCAGCTGCTTCCATCTTTACTAGGAGTTCATTGGGTCCAGGCGAGGGTCTTGATATGGCCTTTAGTTGCAGCGGGTAGTAAGGCTGGCCGGCCTTTACCTTCTTTTCGCGTATCACCAGAGCATGAGGCATTTTGCTACCTGGGACTCCAGAGAGAGTTCGGAGAAACAAGAAGTTATGGGTTGCAGAGACAAGAGATGTTGGTTGATCAGAAGAGAGTATTGTCTGGGGTACACAACGGCTCATCAATTTAATCCTACTAAAATAGTGCTCCGGTAATACGCTCCCCCGTTTTGTGGAATATTGAGCCTCGGAATGCCTAGTTTGTCTTTTTGATGGCTTGCGAGAAGAAATCGTCAACTTTGCTGGCGTACGTCTACTCGTAAATGCATCGCCCGGGGTAGCTGACAGTCATGGCCAGGTGAGCATTTCAGCAAGATATTATTGTCAGCATCTCCGGCATGATCTGACCAATTCCCAAGGATAGAGGGAGCTGTACCCTTGTTGCATTGTCAGCACATATGCACCACACTGCGCTCAGCAGGCTTGGCTTGTCACTGCATGGGTCGTATTACAAGGTCAGATGACAAGCTCGAGTGATACGTAGTGGCATGATTCCATCGTTCGATCTAGGCCACCCGGCATCCAGACAACCAGTCATTGCACCTTGTTAGCCTTTTGAATGAATTAATTCGGCTTTCTTTCGTTGTGCATATCGCGTTCATGTTCTGATCTAGGTCCCATGACCGCTCACGTAATTGTGGCTACCCTAGACCCTTTATCCGTCTCCCACAAGACCACATCCAAAAAATGGCCTATGCTACCAAAGCAATAGTTGCTGTGGCATTGATATATTTTTCACAGTTTTTGCGTAATTTTCTTCGGAATATTGTCAACGGACGGGCTATTAAGCTGCCGTTGGTTATTGTTCCGGTAGATCAGACCTCGCTGCTCTGGTTGATACTAGCCCCCCTTGGTAGAAAACAACTACAACAGATATTGCCTGTGCAAGTCTGGAATAGGCTGGCGATTTCTATTTTCGGCTGGGAGTTTCATGAAAAATTGCGACCGTTTCAACAGTTCGCAGATGACCGTGGTGATGGAAAGGGATTGTCGTATCTGCTAGCTGGATTGGGTCAGCTCGAGCTCTGGACAGCCGACCCGATAGCAGTCCAAGACATCTTGCTTCGCCATCGCGACTTTGAAGTACCACACTCACTCGAGTTTGCCCTTGGACAATACGGGCCGAATGTACTGACAACAAATGGAGATCAATGGACAAGGCATCGGAGAATAGTCTCTAGTGTCATCGACGAGCGCATATCAAAGACTGTTTTTGAGGAATCGATCCAACAGACTAGAGGCTTGCTAGGTGAGATACAGCCATCTAAAAGTTTGAATAACCCTCAGACCACCGACACCTTCCATTTATTTGACATGCTAAAAAAAATCACCATTCATGTTCTTCTCACTGCCGGAATGGGAAGGACAGTAGCATGGAATGACGGCAACGACCAAGAAGCAGACAAAGGTTTCAGAATGACACATATAAGATCACTTACGACGGTTGTAACAAGCATTGCGGGCGCTGGCTTACTTCCAACTGGCATGCTCACTCATTGGCCACGGTGGCTACCAGGCCATGACAAAATGACATCGATCGGACGTGCGAAGAATGAGGTACAGATGCGCAGCAAAATAATCTTGGAAGCGGAGCGAATTTCCATGGCCAGGGGAGAGACGTCTGGATCGACGAACAACATCATGAGAAAGTTACTTGAGGCTTCACAGGACGGCCATGATTCTGGCAAGCCACTATCGGAAGCTGAGATGATCAGCAACCTGTTTATTTTTACTGCTGCAGGCTTCGAGACAACAGCAACATTGTTAGCCTACGCCATGGTTCTCCTCGCCAGATATCCCATGTGGCAAGATTGGCTGCTTGAAGAAGTGGACGAGCTCGCTTCGGTCGATGAGCCGTCGGAACCAACGGAGTACACGGCTGCTTTCCCTCGAGCCATACGCACCATGGCATTCATGTACGAGACTCTGAGATTATACAGCCCGGTATGCCACGTCCACAGAGAAACGGCTTCGCCGCAAACTTTGCAAACGGCCACGGGCACCGTCCACCTGCCGGCCAAGACGAGAATTTACGTGAATTCAGTGGCGGTGCACCTTCTTCCTATATGGCGGGACATAAATAGAGACTCGGACCCGCCCTTTTACAAGCAGGAACCAACGGCCTCTGCTGACGAGCACGCATTCCGGCCGTCGAGATGGCTCAACCCGCCCGACAAGACGCAACGAATTTACCACCCGCCAAAAGGGACGTGGATTCCCTGGGCGATGGGGCCACGAGTTTGCCCGGGCCAGAAAATGGCCCAGGTGGAGTTTACGGCTGTTGTTTTGACGCTGCTGCGGAGATGTCGCATCGATGCGGTCCCGTTGGACGGGGAAGGGCGCAAAGAAACAGAGGAAAGGTTGGACGCTGAGCTCCGTGACAGCAGCTGGGTCACGGTTCTACAAATGAACAACGTGTTTGATCCCAAGCCGAATAAGGGGCTTCCTATGAGGTTCTCTCGAAGGAGATAGTCGTTGAACTGCTCCATCTGTCACGGCTGGATATAGCAGGCTGTATGATGACAAACCCTTTGTTGGCTGGCTCTTCGCAAAGCGACTACGTCAACCTATGAGTTGCTGAAGCTATGATTAGTTTGTTGAAAGGCCGGGATTACCCTCCTGTTAATCGAAATTGAGCAATTTGACACTTGTGAAGGGAAATAATGAGCGACGGTTGGGATGACTTTGACCTGGATGAAAAAACTTTCCAAGGTTGCTCGATGAGACCAAGGTACTTGTGACGTACGTGTATCTACGTGTAGATGCTGCTACTTGGCGGTACTTGTGCGAATGCTGCCAAGGAAAACGGGGTCGGTGCTCAAGATCTGCATTTTGACGCGGCACAAGAAGCTTAGCGTCTTGGCAGTCGTATTATCCTATTTAGGACTAGTGCCACGGCCAGGGCCTGGTGACACCCGATGAGCTCGGCCAATCATGACGAAGCGGCTTATGAGTACCAGTTGACGTCTGTCAGACCTTCAGTTGCCTTCTGCTGGTGGTCAGGCACTGCCAACAGAGGCATTCATGATTCCGAAATCTTGACGTCCTTCATCCCAAATCGCCTTGTACCAGCTCTCATGCCATCACGCAGAGTCAAAAGAGAAGACCGCCTCAAAAACTAAAGATTGGCCCATCAACTCAAGATGGCGAGCGGAGAGCCAGGTAGGCGTCATGAAGCTCCTCTCCTCCATGGACGCGACCGCAAATGCTAACAAGCTCAAGTTCTGGGCAGTCTTTTTGTATACGCCCCTAACCAAGCCGCGCCAATCTTCTTCACCATTGCCTTTGGCCTCTCGGCAGTCGGACACATATGGCAGTGCATGTGCGTGCCAGCGGTATCGTATACCATGCTGTAGACGAATTGGCTTGGCTGACATTATACCGACGCAGTCGATATAAGAGCTTCAAGCTTCTCGGGTTACACCCGCTCTGCGCCATTCTCTTTACAGCCGGCTATGCTCTGCGGGAATACGGATCCATGAACTACCTGTACAGCGACCAAAATCTGATAATATACATACTGAGCCAGGTTTTCATCTACGTTTGCCCGTCAGTTCAAAAATCCCAACCAAACTCATTTAGCAACTATAGTTGACACCAAGCTCGCTGCCGTACCAGTCCACTTCTCGAGCTCGCCAACTATCATGTCCTCGGCCGAGTACTATACTACATCCCGTATCTCGCACCTATGCCTCCGGGAAGAGTGCTGGCTACGTTTGGTGCCTTGATGGCGCTTGTCGAGACCCTGAACGCTGTCGGTGTAGCATTGAGCTCTAACCCATCATCGGATATCTCGCAGCAAAAATTGGGGAGCAACTTGATCATATCCGCTCTCGTAATCCAGCTCGTCGTCATTCTCATTTTCGTCGTGCTCGCCGGCATTTTCCACGGGCGTTGCAGGAGATCCAACTTGCACGTCAAGGCCGTCTCCACCACTCTAGTCGTGCTGTATATCAGCATGGCCCTCATTCTGATCCGTTGCATCTATCGCCTGGTGGAGCATGTGGGCAACACCACGGTGGACATTTCCGACCTGGAGCTGCTCGAGGCGCTGAGTCCCCTTTTGCGCTACGAGGTGTACTTTTACATATTCGAGGCCAGTGTCATGCTTATCAATTCCGTGATATGGAATATCTGGCACCCGGGCCGTTCCCTCCCCAGGAGCTCCAACGTTCACTTGTCGCCAGATGGGGAGACGGAAGTCACCGACAGAGAGGACGTGGATGATCGGTCGCTCTTAGCCAAGGTGGCGTGTATTCTAACGTTTGGCATTTTGCTCCGCAAAAGGACCAAGAATGCTCCATTTCACGAGCTTGACGATTACCAGGCTGCCCGCTAGTACCATCACCCGTCAACGCCCTCTTCCTTTGCGACATGGGACTATAGTGTACACTTCTCACAGAATGATGACGCATAATTGAAAAACGCCCCCCCGGCGGATTGCAATAGTTGGGCATTGGAAGAAAGGGGGGGTTATGCCATCTACTGTGTTATTTGCCGGTTTGGGGTCGCTGCAAAAGACTTTACTCGGCTAGTCTATAATTAATGGAATGTAAGATATTGTTGATCGGGAATTTATACTTTGTTAGTGAACTCACAAGTTCTAGTTTCAAAATTTAGGTCCACGGGAGACTTGGAATTTGGTATTTCTCCACTCTGTTTTTGGTTCTTTCAACAATGCAATGCCGTGTCATGTACCATTGGACGTTGTGAGCTACCTGCTATGGAATGATTGTCTCTATTATCTTCCTTTGCTATTTTTCTTTTCTGTTTTCCACCTATTTTATCAGTTAAAATCAGGCAATTGATGGAACGTTGGGCCGGAAAGTTGTCATCTTCACCCGACTCTATGCTTGGGTGACAGGTTTCAAGTCGGCAATTCTCTATTTCCCGCAAGAGGGTATGGACCCCTTGCAAAGTTCAAGTTGGCGGTGGCAGATCCCAGGTGCCGACAGCTCGACGGTACCTTGATTTCGGGGCAGATTCTGAACTTGCTGACTTCGGCCACTTCCTTTTTGGGATCAGCAAGTGCTGACAGGAACTGGGCCGAAATGCATGAGAGAGAGAGCTATGCTATGCAGCCCATCGGTGTGCCACGCTGACATGCAGGTTGACCGCGGCGGATCCAAAGTAAGACTGGTTGCGGTCCGTGTGGGAGTATTCGGAGCAAATCAACTTATTTCTTACATGCGTTATTGCCGCCCGCAAGTCCGAAGGGGTGCGCCGAGAGCGCGCAGTCCCGACCTCTGGGCTAGACGGGTGTAACACCAGCCTCTATGCTTACATTTCTGATGGTGAGCTGCTTGCACATATCCCAAGCGTCGTAAGCTACACGTCTCGTAATATCTGTCGATCACACCGTGGTTCCATGCCATTCAAGGTCTTCTTGCGTTGATGCCTCGACCGGCAGTCAGGTCGCCTCTCTGGCACGGTCAACTGGTGTCTACGCGTACAAAGAGGATTCTGCGAATGCACAAACTGCTACACAGCCCCCCATTTGTGTCACTTGTAGGTTGATGCGACTGTGAGTGTGGAGCCGGCAGCACCATGTAGTGTTCAGACAGATGCCATGGCACAATGCACTGCCGACGAAGCGTCGTGTCTTGACGAGCGAGTACCTACCTAGAGCATCGCATTGCATTCGAAAGGGGCTAGTTTGCGAGGGGACGATGTAGGCACCAGTGTATCGTCAGACACGCGGAATTGTGCATATGTGAACATGAACGCTTGTAACATGACTGTATGTCGACGACGACGCAACGGCTGCAGGCCAAGGGCCAGAGCTTCACGCTGTCTTAAAATATTACCCATCTGCATGGATTCACATGCCTTCTAACAAAATCTGCCGTTTATATAACCTCCACGGCATGCGCATAAATGTCCACCAGCCGCTGCGCCGTGGGCCTGCGTTGCAAGTGCTTCCCGCCTTCATATATCAAAAGTGCGCCCCGAATTCACCACATTTTCGAGGCCTTCCCAGGGCTCAGTCATCACTCCGAGTCTCCACCGTACGAGTCATCTGTGTAGCTCGAGCTTTCGCAGTCTTCGTCTCTCAGAAACGGCATTTTGTGGTATTTCCGCCTCATCGCGGCCAGGTAGTTCCTCACTCGGTCGTCTCTTTTCAGGAATCCGACCTTGACACCAAGCTTGTAAAGCACTTGGACCTCCTTGATTGCTTTTTCTGCAGGAGACCGCTTCTCCATGGCCTGGCTGGTGCTTGGATTCGCCCCGAGGCATGCTGCCGGCGCGTCCGTGTCGCTGCGCTAATGGTCGACAATTAGAAACACGACACAGGACTCGCCCGTGGGAATTGGGCATCGGGAAGTAGGAAACCTTACCCTGTGGCTCGCATCAGAGGCTGACTGTTCGTGCTGCACCTGCGAATAGCTACGACGTGGCTGGCCACTGAGCATGGCGTGACTGCTCATGCTCGACGTTGATTGCGAGACCGAAGCCGGACTTTGGTATTGGACATGTGGTGATGAAATGATGTCATCGGCGACGGGTTGCAGCATGACATTGTCGTGGCCATCCTCTCTAAAGTGTTCGTCTCGCTCATTCCGGGTGACGGGAAAGTCAAGACCCATTAGTGGCCAGGCCGACTGAGAATCTCCATGGCTCTTCGGTTGGTGCTGTACCCAATGCGGGGGATCTTGAACAAAGTAGCTCACCAACGCCTGCGATCCGTGTAAATACTCGGGGTAAGGCGGCGACGGGGGCAGGCTCATGAATGGTGTGTTGATGGTTGCTTCCTTGACGGTGAGTTTCTGTCCCACTGGACCGAGCAAACCGTCAATGGTGCTGGGGCCAGACGGTTGTTTTTGACGCTGCCCTAGAGTTATGCCATTGTCAGCTTGGCTACGCACCGCAGTTCCGGTCAGGGCTGTCATACTTCGGCGTTGCTGCGATTCGCGGTTCTGCCGTCGCCGTCGCTCACGGGACTCTTGGTTCAGTGGCATTTGGATAGGAGGAACTTCTTTCTTCTTTTGGAAAAAAGATGTCAAGTCAATATGTTGAGCGACCTGCTTAGTTATGAAGGTCGCTGTATCAGCAGATGCCAAGGGGGGGTCATGTCAATAGCCCGACGCGGACTACAGGCATTCAGTATAGTTCTCGCTGGTACGACGAAATCGGTACGAATGGCCCTGCACTTTTGCCATGTTACCAGGTTGATTGGGCTAACTAGTATCCTGACTGACGTGCCGGGTCGGCAGCATCTATTCCTCGGTCAGCCACATCTCGAACGAGCCGGTGAATCCTTCTGGACTCAATCAAAAGCCGTCTTACTAAAGCTCGGCAGACAACTAATGCAAGGTGGGGGCTTCGAAGCTCAGCAGCCAGATGACTGAGGAAGAAGAGACCATGACTCCTCCCCCCTTTCATGCTCGATTCGAGCAGAAGTCTGCTCACCATGTCTAAGATAACCGCATTCAGCACGCAGACGCACCGTGTGTCTAGACTACAAGGTTCGCGATTGATGGCCCGAGACAGGCTACAGGGTGGCTTATAAGTATTTTTGAAATACCAGGGCCTTGGTTTAACTTGCGTGACGTCGTTGCCTCAACAACATACAGCGGCGAATAGATGGACTCCTCAACATGGTCGCTTGCATGGTCGCCTGCAGTGCCCGCACATCTTGGCACCCAATAGCTCGTCACGTAGGGCTTACTATGTATATTACTTCATTTTGTTTCAAAAGAGGAGTGTCAGACGCAAGCAACCCCGTGTTGGGTGCTGATGGTGTCTTAATATTCTTGGCGACTGGGTGTTGCTAACCACGGTTTTCGTATCTTATCAATAGGGACGGTTATTAGAGCCTACGTAGGCGGGTTGCTCCATCTCTTTAAATTAAGATTCAATGTTGAAAATTTACAGCGGAGCCGGCGCATACGCAGTTGGCGAGACTTGAGACATTCCGATACATGGTCCACCATCTGCAGGCCACAATGGTACTATCAATATAGAGGCGATGGCGTGTCTGACTTACGATATGTTTCCACATAAATATATATATATAGAAACATAGGTCTCACTCAAACTCCCAGCTCTTTTGCTGTTCGCCGCCCTCTTTCAACCTTTCCCAAGCTTGGAGTCTACTAGGCGAATCCGTCTTGTAAGCATGGTACCACGTAAGCCCAAACCTTGGCACGAGACACCCCGAAAGTCTGTCCCCATCTCACGGATATTCCTGTCTTAGCGACTCTTGACAAATGATACCATGGCAAACTTGATAGTGTACTCTCATATCTCGGGATGCGGAGATGCTGCACGTTTTCCATGTTTGGGGGCAGAGGAAACGGGTTCCCCGTGAATATTAAGCATATCAATGGCACCCTGCCTGCTGATCGGTACATCAACACGGCGCGGGGTTGTGAGACATGTTCTTGGAGCATGCTTCATTGCAATTGGCCGCAACTCGAAATTGCCAGAGCTACATCTGTATGAATGGTCTGACTCACGAGCCGGGAAAGTTGGCCGAGGCATGTCAAGCTCGACCTCCATCCATACATCATATTTTCGTTGGAAAGATATGGTCAGCATCATGCCACGCAGTAATGGACCGATACTTGGTCTAGAACCAGGGCAACCGTGGTTCGTTAGTTGTGGCGGCGGCCGCGCGCGTTGTACTTGTACACCTGCTGCATGTGTAATCGGGAGCAATCTCGTCCGGCTTGACGGGTAGACAAGATGATTCGCTCCCGAATCAACCCTATTGCTACGTTCCATTAATGGCAGGCCTTGGCACAAGCAAGGGTCTCGGGTCGCTTGGGCATCCTTCCGCACTCTGCAGCCATGGTTGGTTAATTGGTTGCGACATGGATAGCCGCAACTTCTCAATGGATCTACGACTACTAACGGGAGGTCGGTACAAGGGCGTCTGCAATGCATCACCTGTGCCTAGCTTCGCATCATGGTAAAATCACAAATTGCCAAATCTTTCCTTGCATATTCTCGATATAATTCCAAATCCCAGGCACTGTTCGAGCAGGATTCCTAGGTAGTAGAGAGATCTGCGCTAGAAAGTAGGTTCTTGGACGTGTTTAACCACCGGCGAATCCTGTCCCTATCTACATTCCGAGTATTTCCCCAAGGTAGCCATTCTACTGCAATCCAAATGGTAGGAACCGCCTCAGAAGGTAGGGCTGCTTGCGCATATTCTTCGACAACGGCGAGACTGCGGTCCACGATTTGCTTGTGCGGCCGAGGCAGTCTCTGTAGTGTTCTTGTTGTTGGTAAACGGGCATCGGATAAACAGACCACAGCCACGACTACGGTTCGGCCTGCCGAGATCTGGGTCAGCATTACAACATGACTTAGTTCATCACAGCCGAGAAGCTTCCTTTCGAGCTCTTCAAGTTGTACCGTCCGCCCCTTGATCTTGACGCGGCTGCTTCGTCGTCCGACCAAGACAATGCTGCCGTCAGGGTTGTATCTGCCGAGATCCCCGGTGCGATAAAACTTGGAGCTGCCAGCCGCAAACAAAGAAGCCCATTGAGGTGGCGCGATGAAAGAAGCTGCAGTTTTGAGCCCATCTCCAAAATAGCCTTGTGCCACACCCGAACCCCCAATCAACAGTTCGCCGGTGCTGCCGATCGGGGCCAGGTCGTGAATGTTTTGAGGGTTCACTATCCAAACTGAACAACCAATCGGGAACCCGACGCAGTCAACGTCGAGAGATGCAGAATTCACCCCCGAGAGTGTACTCAGCAAGGATGCTTCACATGCCCCCCAGCCACGGAACAGTCGTGCGGCATGATTCCACGTCGTCATCACCTTGCTCTGCAAAGGCTCGCCGGTGCACACTATGGACTGCAGGCTGGGGGCATTACCCGGCAGTAGTTTGCCAAGCTCACCTGATGGAAGTATTGCCCAGTTTGGCTGAGTGACTTGGATGGCGCGCGAGAGGCTATGCTCAAGGTCCGAATCAGTAGAGACGCAGAGACAACCCCCAGACAACAGCATCCCCAGGACCTCATAAACACTCCAACTCGACACGTAGGGCGCCATGTGTAGCAGGCGGCTGCCTGGTTGCCAGCTCAGCGCTTGAGCTTGCGACTTTAATGACGAAACTAAGCTGCGGTGTTGAAATACCATTCCCTGGGACTCTCCCCCGTTACCGCTGGTGAAGAGGATATAAGCGATATCCGCCGGGCTGCTCATATTGCTCACAACAGCGCTGGGGGCGTCGAGTATGGAGCTGACAGAGTCGGCACCGACAGAAAAGATGTCTACTGCAAGACCGACAGACTTGGAGTACTCTGTAGATGATGTCAAGACAAGTTTCACACCCACCCGGGAGCAAATTGCTGCTCTGTCCTCGATGTTGTCATTCTTGTCGAGTGGGACGCATATACCTCCCGCTTTCAAAATTCCGAGCATCGCGACGACTGCCCATAGGGACCTCTCAAACACCAAGGCCACCGCAACGCTGCGTACGACGCCTCTTCGTCGCAGTTCTTGAGCCAGCCGATCAGTCATTTGGTCCAAAAGTCGATAATCAGCCGTCCCGTCACTGGCCTCCACTGCCGTTGCGTCAGGTCGAACTCGCACTTGATCACGGAACAACTCGTGAATAGGCTTTGCTGACTTCTCCACAACTCGTGCATTCCATGTGGAAATACGCTGACGGTCATGTGGATTCAGTAGCTTCAAGCTGCTCAACTTGGTCTTTGGCGCAGCTTCTGTCAGCAGTTGCAGTACATACTCGAACTGATTCAAGACTTGGTTCAGTTGGACCTCGGAGATGGCCTCGGGATCGAACCTGGGATCGATGATGAATCCACCGTCATTTATGCTGAAGATTAAATGCAAGGGAAATGGTGCTTCAACAGACACCATGCGGTCCAACTTGATATCGGTGTTGCCACCCGCAGCAGGAAGCTCGGGCAAGATATTCAGCAGTGTTCGGTACGATGCAGCGTGCTTGGATGCCTGGCTAGCAGCGTTAATCTTGCTTATGCCCCAATGTACGGCGGGATGCGCCTGCAGCTGTCGCAGAGAAAGAGCCCTGTTTTTAATCAGTTGTCCGACGGTCATGTTGCGATGCAGATCAACCTGCACAGGAACTTCGGTGACGGTCGGGCCCAGAGTACCCTGGAACCCATTTGAAGAGGACGACCGGCCAGACAAGAGGTAGCCATAAGAGACGCTGTCGTTTCCCGTGTAAATACTCGACGTTATAGCCCACGCGGCCTCGATGTAGTAGGGCATTTGGGCATGGACTTCTTCGCCGCTCATACGTCTGAAAGCTACCTCTCTTGTCATGGCTCTCCTCACTTTATCCGAACACCCCGACTTGAAACTGGGGAAAGCAGCAGGAATACCTCTGAATCGGGAGGCCCAGAAAGACTTGGCTTCGGAGTCGTCAATCGCCCTACAGTGAGCGACAAACTCTTTGAACGCAGGGCGCTCCGGAGTTGCATGTCCGTAATACGCAGCCGCCACGTCCACGTTGAACATTGTGAACCAAGACCAGTAGTCCATAACGGCGTGGTGTATCGTAGCAACAAAGTTCCTGCCGAGGAAGGCCGCGCGGAACAGTGGTACTCCCAACCACAGACCGTCTGCTCTGCTACCACGCAGATACTGATCGACGTCGCCAGAAGGGCGGATGGGGATTTCCTCCACGCCCAAAACTACTTGAAGGGTCCCGAGATGACATTTTGCAAACCTCGTGCGCAACGTTGGATTCTTCGAAATCACACCCTGAAGGGCTTCGGAAAACCGCTCAATACTGGCTCCAGGGCCGAACGTGAGGACAAACTGGTATACTTCGGGTTTTGTTTCATGAATCATGTGGATTTGTGATGGGGTGCATTCGTAGAGGTCTTCTATGGCAGTGACTGGCGTGTTGCAAAACTTTGCGACGTCAGCTAGTACCGATTCCTCGATATCAGCTCGCGACATGATCCCAGATGATGCCATACTGGCCGTGCTGTTGGTGTTGGAGATGGGACTTTTAGCAAGAAACCATGTGGGAAATTCACCCCGTTTGTAAACAAATTTCAGTGTGCCCAGCCGAGTGCCCTGGTCAGCATACGGTATTCTCCTGGGCTATGGCAAAAAGTCACCCGCGTTCTGTGAGCTTTGAGATGATGCTAAGAGGACGGTGAACAAGACTCAATGACGTGAGTACTGTTATTGGAGTGGTTGAATGCAACAACAACCCTCTTTGGCGGCAGCTTTTGATGGTCGTGCCGACTCGGAGTATGCCAGTGGCACAACTACTTTGGACTACGTTGTGCATGGACTTGTGATTGCCCAACCCAAAAGGCCAAGAAAGATAGGATCAAGTAGTTCAAGGTTTGTAAGACGCCAATGAATTGCTGACTGCAGATGCTGACCACACGTCAGCATACTCCTTGTCCCGTTGGGCCTGTGAGGTCAGACGGCACAGCTACCCGTAACCACCGGAGCTGACTTGTTTGACTACAAGTAACAGGATCTTTTGCATAGTGCAGTAAGCCCTGACTTTGGAAAATTCTAGGGCTCCTGCGACCAAAGTAGCTCATGAGAGGGCGTTGCTCTAGCACCTTGGAGGTTGCCATGGGTGAGTGGACTTGGTACTGCCAGCTACAGTTCCTTGGAATATGATTGCAAGACTTCTCGTAAGCCATTCTTCAAGGACGCCACTTTCGGAATCCTAACAGAGGCCGTACAAACGCGGTGTTGTATCTTTGTTAGCCGAGTCCGGCATTCCGGGGCTTGTTCTTGGCCTGCTCACCTCTGTGTGGTCAGCTTCACCATTCCTCTTATGCGCTTGTAGACGGCTATCAAAGGACTAAACGAAAATCCAAGTGAAGCTCAACTTACTCAGCGTGGTCGGGGCCTCCCACTGCGTAAGTCATTGCTCACACATGCACCTGCTGCACGGGACATCCAAACTCATTCCTCCCTTGGTTGCTGAGTTTTATAATTTCAAGAATTGGGTTCTCCAGTAGAGAAAAAAAAAGACATACTAATTCACGGCAGAGAGTGGACATGCATGAGGCAGCAAGAGCTGCATTGTCGTCCCCAGGCGACTCGGATGAATCCATAACCATCGCACCCATTCCGTGCCATACATCTACGAGTCCCAACAACCGCGACTATGAAGAAAGGAAAAACAGCAGGGCGGAATCAAGTCTCAAATCCTTTATTGTACGTCATGATCAGATGTGGCTCGGACCTGGTGCAAAAATTAACGTCAACTGTGTCAGCGAGTCTTCCGGTACAATGACACGCGGGGATGGATTTTGAATGCCATCGCCTTTTTGGCCATGATTGGCGCTGGTACTGCCCTGCCGCTCATGGATGTCGTTTTCGGCGGCTTTGTCAATGTCTTTAATAATTTTGTCACTGGAAAGCTTTCACCCGCCGAGTACATGGATGAGGTCGGCCATTATACGTACGCATTGCTCTTTGAATGGCCTCGCGTCGTCCACACATGGCTAACCAAACGTGGCGAAAGACTGTATTTTGTGTACATTTTTATCGGGAGATTCTCACTGATATACACATGGACGGTTTGTGCCTTGGCTTTGTGTGTCTTGTCTTCATGGTCGTGTACTGAGAACCCTAGATGCTGGTCAACATCACAGCTATCCGCACAACTAAAAACCTACGGGTCGACTTTGTTCGCCAAATTTTGCGTCAGGAGATATCCTTTTTTGATACTCCCTTGCTATCTGTATCAGGACAGGTAACTATCAATGGGAATCTCATCTACTATGGCATCTCTGAGAAACTGGGATTAGTTATTCAGGCACTTTCGATGCTCATTTCCGCATTCATCGTAGCTTTCGTTGTGCAGTGGAAGCTAACGTTGATCACTTTGGCCATTGTACCAGTCAACACTATAGTCATGCTTGTATGCATTTATTTTGATGCCAAGTATGAGTATCAAATGTTTGACATCTATGGCAAATCTGGATCTCTTGCCGAGGAGGCCTTCTCGACTATTCGCACGGCTCATGCATTCTGGGCCTTCCCAAAGCTAGCTGCGAGATTCCGTGAGATTCTGAAAGAGGCCAGGCAAGTCGGTGATAAGAAATCTGTTATATATGCAATCTTATTCCCCGTGGAGTTTTTTAGCATCACCGCCGGCTATGCGCTGGCATTTTGGCAGGGTATGCGAATGTACTCGAGTGGTGAGATCCAGAGCCCTGGGACTGTGGTAACGTAAATACCCTGCCATCAAGCACTCTTCGCTGTGATGTCTCTTTCTAAGGTATGCACAGGGTTATTTTTGCAGTGTTGGTTGCAGCCCAGGCTCTGACGCAAATCGCACCGCAAATGATCGCTATATCGAAAGCCATGGCCGCTGCACAAGACTTGTTTTCTACCATCGATAGAAAATCCTCCATTGACTCACTTTCGGATGAGGGGATTAAAATTCAAAACTTCCAAGGCAATGTTGAAATTCGAGCGCTTTGCTTCTCATACCCGTCGCGACCAAGTGTCCCTGTTCTGGATAATCTTGGCCTGGATTTCCCTTCGGGCAGGACAACGGCCATAGTGGGTGCCAGTGGCTCTGGGAAAAGCACAATATTTGGACTTTTGGAGCGCTGGTACCCGTATTCGAGCGGCGAAATAACGCTAGACGGACAAAGGCTTGAAGACATCAACTTGCGGTGGCTAAGAACCAATATTCGCCTTATCCAGCAAGAGCCCACGCTATTTAGTGGTACCATATATCAGAATGTCGTGGATGGCCTCTGCGGTACTGACCATGATAGTCTGCCTGATGAGGATAAGAGAAATCTTGTCATCGAGGCGTGCAAGTCTGCCTTTATACATGATTTTATCCAGGACCTTCCTAGCGGGTACGAGACTTGGATTGGAGAAAGAGGCGCCTCATTATCCGGCGGTCAAAAACAACGCATTGTTATTGCCCGTACTATTATATCCGACCCAAAAGTCTTGCTCCTGGACGAAGCAACCAGCGCGCTGGATCCAAGCTCGGAGAAGATCGTGCAAGCAGCACTGAATAGTATAGCCAGGGGCCGCACCGTGGTTATCATTGCACATCGACTATCCACTATAAGGGACTGTGATACTATTATCCTATTAGCCAAAGGCAAAATGATAGAACGGGGCACCCATGCTGAGCTGATTGAGCTTGGGGGCGTCTATGCCAGACTCGTCAGAGCGCAAGACCTCGGGCAATCGTCAGACCAGATTGAAGAAGCCCCTGATGATGGACAGCATAAAGCTATGGCTGGCAAAGAGTTGACGCAAATCTCTACAACGACAAATCACAACAAGAGCTCTACAGAGCCTACCGATCGACATGCCTTGCTCCATGGACTTTTCTTGGTCCTAAAGGAGCAACGAGCATTGTGGTGGCCCGCACTTGTGATTTTTCTAAGTTGTATGGCCGGAGGTAAGATGTCGTTGACCGCTTTTGACAACATCTCGGCTAAGAAATGGTTTCCAAACAGGGATTACTTACCCAGCTATGGCAGTCTTGGTTTCCAAGTCGTTGGAAGCATATGAAACAACCGACGTGACCAAGGCCAACTTCTTCGCCTTGATGTTTTTTGTTGTCGCACTTGGAAACCTGGTTCTGTACGCTGCCACCGGCTGGCTCTCAAATGTCGTTGCTCAAGTATGTCCTTTTTGCTTTTCACACTTTGCATTTAATACTAGTACCTGACGGGTTCCTCATTCAGACTGTGATGGAGTTTTATCGAGGCGACATCTTCAATAGCACTCTTCGACAAGACATGCTTTTTTTTGACAGGCCAGAGAATAGCACGGGCGCGCTTACATCAAGACTTGCCTCGGAACCTACAAGTCTACAAGAGCTTCTCTCTATAAATATGGCGCTCATAATAATCTGCATAGTCAATCTCATCTCTAGCTGCATTCTCGCCATTGCGTACGGATGGAAGCTAGGACTAGTTCTAACCTGTGGCGCTCTGCCCTTTATTGTAGGATCGGGCTACTTACGTATTCGCCTCGAATCAAAGTTTGAACAAGACACCGTCGAGCGGTTCGCAACTAGCAGCGCTATAGCTGCTGAAGCGGTCATGGCCATTCGTACCGTATCCTCACTGGCTCTTGAATGGACAATTATCCAGCGGTATCAAAAAGGCCTCGAGGGCATCGCACGCCATTCCATCGGTAGCCTTGGCTACAAGATGCTTTTCTACTCGCTGAGTCAGTCAGTGTCCATGCTTGCAATGGGCCTCGGTTTCTGGTACGGCGGAAAGCTCGTTTCAACCGGCGAGTATACATCAAGCCAGTTCTATATTGTGTACCTGGCAGTCATCTTCTCCGGCGAAGCGGCTGCCATCTTGTTTCAGCACACAACCAGTATTTCCAAGGCTGGTACGGCGATCAACTACATCTTCAAATTGCGGCGAGACCGCATCATGTTTGACGACGAGCCTGGTCCGGACTTTCCGCCCCATGCTGCTATTGAGACTTTGCGCGACGAAAAGGGCTTGGAGGTGGCCTTTGATGACGTGCATTTTTCCTATCCCCTTCGGCCAAAGCAAAAAGTTCTCCGTGGCGTCAATATCAAGATTAAATCCGGCACCATGGTAGCTTTCGTTGGGGCCTCTGGGTGTGGAAAATCTACACTTGTAGGACTGCTCCAGCGCTTCTATGACCCTACAACCGGCATACTGTGGGCAGGCCATCGAGACATCAAAACTCTTCATCGACGTACCTACCGCCGGGATATGGCGCTGGTCCAACAAGAGCCCGTCTTGTACCAAGGATCTATCCGGGAAAATATCACGCTCGGGATCGAGCAAGGTGACCGTGACCCTACCGAGACGCAGATCATGGAAGTATGCCAGAGCGCGAATATATGGGACTTTGTCTTGTCCCTCCCAGACGGGCTTGAAACACCTTGCGGAAATCAGGGATTCGCTTTATCGGGAGGGCAGAGGCAGCGTATCGCGATTGCCAGGGCTCTTATTCGTAAACCTCAATTATTGCTTCTTGATGAAGCGACGAGTGCGTTGGATACAGAGTCTGAAAGGGTGGTAAAGGCAGCACTAGATCGCGCAGCAGCAGGGAGAACGACAATTGCGGTTGCACACCGTCTCAGTACAATCAAAGATGCTGATAATATCATCGTTGTGTCTAGGGGAAGTATAGTCGAGTCGGGAACCCACGATGAGCTGTTGCGTAAAAAAGGCGTGTATCACGAAATGGTATTGGGACAGTCACTAGATAGAGAAGTGGGATGATGCAAAGGGGACGACGGCCTTGCCATAACATATCGCCGATTGCCAAAGGCGAATAAAGGCCGTAGTAGAATTGTGCCAGCTGCTATGTAAACCCATATTTTAAGACAAAGTCGTGATACTCTGGTAGCTTGATTGTCCCCTGGCTCTCAACTTGGCACCGAAGCGCCAGACTGTTCCCCCAACCGTATGCCAGTGCCTCGTAAAGGGTATTTAGAGACAATGGGAAGGCAAAAGCTAGCTGCTCCGAAGAACCTGCGTCGCCGCTGAAGCTGAACTGACATGCTCGGGGTAGGCATCCATGACTTATGCGTGTAGCGTGGTGTCGAAGATTTGCATGCCAAAAGACAGCAGGAGGATGCCAATGTCGAGAACAAGCCAGAAAGGCTGATGCTGCGCAGTCCATCTATACAAGAGGAATTCGATGGGTGTGAAGAAGACTCCCGGCAAGCAACAAAAGCGGAATCCGGAGCCCGGGGACGCTGGTATTATCGGTACGACCTGTCATCCGTTTATACATGTGGTCCATGTGTGGTCCGCAAAGTTGGGAATCAGAGATGGTGCCAGTGTATATTGAAATGTAGTACAGGCCAGAGATGGAGATAGATTCGCCATGCGCAGAAACGTAAAGGAAGGAGAAGCTGGCCGGCGCAACGTGCAGCAGACCGTAGTTGATGCCTTCCGGGATGGCCTGGATTTGGATGATTGGGTGGAATACAAGGAGACGGAGCGGGCGAGACAAGCTGCGACTAAGCTTCCAGAAAGTAGGACGACCGGATTTGCGCGTCTCGAGCTCGGTGTGATAGCGAAGTCGCCCGTCTCTTTGCGCCGCTTCTCGGCTCGTCGACAGAGGACAACTGCGTGACTCTCGTGGAGTAGGAGTAGGGAAGAAGCCTCTAGAACAACCTAAAGAACAGTAGTCGCCCAGAACATCCGCCTCCAAGTGGAATGTTCGACCATGAGGCCGCTGACAATGGGCCCGACAGCAGAACTGGTCAGCGAGATGAGAAGGTATAAGCTCAACGAGTGTCCTCGCTGCTCCACCGGCCATACATCACCGAGCACACCATATCCCAAGCTGTATACTGCACTGACCCGAAGCCGGCCAAGAGACGGGTGCCAATCAGCAGACCCTTGGAGTGGCGAACCAGATATTGGTGACGTGGAGGATGGATTTTCTGCCCTACATTTCCGACAGTAGAGGCCCGATAATGGGCGGTCCAAAATTCAAATACCGTGGCCGAGAGATCGACAGTGCCGTTGTCGACTCGGTTATAGACATGTTCAACTCATCTGCGATGGTTTCGATTCCTAATGCCATCATCTACAGGCATGTCGCATTAGCAAGTGTCCGTAGTGTTAGCCCGGGCATGTAGTCTTACCGTCGAGACCATGATGCGGACACGAAGGGATGACCGCTCCTGGCACCAATGACCGTTGTGCCACTTATATCGTCATCGGGCATCAGACCGTCGTCTACTGGGTTTCAGGTGGAATTTTTATTTAGACACGGAATCTTTACTTTCAGTTCGCGGGTAGTGATTATTTCAAAACAGGGCCGTCCTGAGAAACTCAAATGTGCTCTCGGATGTACTGCTCCATAAACTTTCAAACGAAAGACTTTGAACACGCCCAAGTGGTATGCGGCTGATACGATGCCTTTTCAGTGAATCCCCAAAGCCAATCATCGTGTACGCTACTCTAAGGGCTCAGTCAAATCCCTATTCTCTCACAGGTTCGAATATTTCCCATGTCCATTAGAATACAGCCAGGCTCGCATCTTACCCTAGGCACCACGGCCATTCCCAGACCAGAATTTAGTTGCGGGTCTGCTTTGCGTGCGGGCAACAGCCGTCTTCGGCAACCAAGGACTCACATTTACCATGTCTGCCATCAGACTGGGCCCTTGTGCTAACCACTACGTCATCTTAAAGCCGTGTATCCTCAAATACTAGTCCTATAACGGATACGTTGCTCCGACATGGAAAGATTAAAGTTGTAATGCTTTAACTAGTTTTCCCAGAACCCGGTAGGAGACACGTAAGCTACCTCTTGGCTTAGCATCCAACTTCATCCTCTGGCGAAATTACGTTAAAAATAAAGAAATCAATCGTCTTTCTTTGGTATTTCGTGTGGAATTGGGCCTTCAATTGGCGTCTGCGAGGTGCAAAATGGGAAATATATTGTTTAGCATATTCGTCTTGTTGAAAAAAAAAAAGCTCCTGAGACAGGTGGATTAGAGACACTGTAAGTTACTTGGTTAAACGAAAGAAAAATGGTGTGTTTATATCGAGAGATTTACCATTGCACTAATAAGACTATTATACTAGCCGCATGATCAATCAATGAAATTAATGCTTTCAAGCTCACATCTACATGTACCATCGACTAGAGCCAGACCACTCACATGGTGCCGAAGCCATCGCAAGCCCAGCAACCGCGCCATTTGAGTGAAAATTGCAACACTGACACTGCATCTATACCAGAGTCAGATAAGCGAGCATGGCTCGTCATTTTTCAAAGTGAGGTCAATGTCGCCTCATTGCCTCGGAGACCCGGATGGCACAGCACTTTGGAACAGCCCCCTTGGTGTGGTGAGGTGAACCGGGCCGCTTCTGCATAACTGAGCATGGTTGCAATAAATTTCTCCCATTTTCTGTAAGAAATAGTACCGCATGAACTTCCCACGGCCTTGTAAACCAGTGACGTACAGAGTAAAATGCCAGCGTCACCTCGGCCCGCGTATTGCGATACCATAAGCTGGGCTCACCGTGGAACTGGGATGATTCCCTGCTTTCCCCGTCGCCCGAGAAAAGACAATGGACAGCATTTCTATTAGCTCTTGCCTGGGAAATATATTCCTGTTACTACCTTGCTGCAGGATCGTATTGCACGTATGATCACTCTTGTCTATGTAGTATCACTTTCTTATCGTTGGAGCAAGAGTCATCTATGGCTAGCTTTATTATTCCCGTTCCTCACACCACCAGACAAGACACTTCCTATACCAATCATCTGTGGCACTACTGTGTCGACTTGAGCTTGGATAACTCGCCGAACACAGCACCGGCCAGAAGCACGTCGTCTTTATATTAAGGTTACTGAAATCCCCTGGGCTACAAGAAGGGTGAATTCTACTCCGAGCAGCGCCATCACTGTCTTCGCGCAGCTCATTTTATTCGGTCCATTGCTCTGCGTCTAATTGTACAATGTTAACGGAATATAAGGGGGTATAATTCCTATTTAATTAAAGCGCGTTCTTTTTCGTAATAGTTATGAGCCTAGTTAACGTAACGGTATAATTTACCTTAATTCCACGCACCTCTTATCCGATTACCTTCTAGTTGAAGACCTATATGCGGTATATTTTAAGGGATTTTTAGCTGCCTAATATAAAAAACCCCATTAAGCCTACTACTAAGCCTAGCGTAACCAGCCACAAGCACACGAAAACGCTACCAGTAATAACCAACTACTATCCTGCTTACTACATTACAGCTGCGATACCATAACTTTAATCTAAACTGCGGGGGTGTGTTAACGGAATATAAGGGGGGATAATTGCTGTTCGATCAGAGCGCGTTCTTTTTCGTGATATACAAGTTGAACATCTATTGCATTGTCCCTGCGTCGGTACTGCCCTCCAAAAAAAAAGCTGTGGGCAAAGCTCATGTATCTTGGAACTGCCAGACAGTAGTTGTATCATGGTCAGAATAATGTATTGTAAAATGGTATCCAAGTGTATCGCTATGTAATGCCATGGTCCCGCTTCCCAAATCAATAAATATGTTCAATGCCGAAAAATTACACCTTTTGCAGAACTTTTTTTTCCCCAACCACGTTTGCACACAGGTTCAATGACGCCATATTTTACGCAGCCACTTCAGTCTCTTCTGGGATGGTTGCAAATTTAGTGAGTACGTTCTTTAGCGCAGGTCGGCGAATTGGCTTGCTCAAGAACTCGTCCATGCCCGATTCCATGCATTCCTTCACGTTGCTCTCTTCCGAAAAGGCAGTGAGTGCGACAATTGGTGCCACATAGCCCATCTTGCGTATCAGACGGGTTGATTGCAGCCCATCGAGGTTGGGCATCTGGATATCCATGAAGATCAGATCGAATGGCTGGTCCTTTTCCATATTCACCTTCACTAGCTCGTAGGCCTCTTGGCCATCCTTCGCTATCGTAACATTGTTCACTTTCTCGAGTTTGAGCATCCTGCTGACTACCTCGATGTTGGTTGAGTTGTCGTCTGCAACAAGAACCCGCAGTTCGGCCCGGCCCGCTTTATCGGCTCTTACTTTTTGGATCGCTGCTTTTTGCTGGTCTTCACTGGTTCGCGGTGGCGTAAAGCTGGGGGCGAAAAAGGGAGTGCTGAGACCAACCAGTCTAGGCTGGTTATCTTCCCTAACAGAAGGAATGTCGTTCTGTTTGGCTTCTTGTTCGGGATCGACGATGCCGCTGCTGAGTGAATTGTGGTGAACGTCACCGACGGCAGACCCAACACTTGGGGTCCTGGAACGAGTGCTGCTTGATGCAGTGCTTGGGGCACGGCCTTGGACGTGTTTGAGCGGGATCCGCAAGGAAAACGTTGATCCCACACCCTCCGTACTAGTGACGCTAATAGAGCCATTCATCAGCTTGGCAAGCTGCGCGCATATGCTCAGTCCGAGACCGGTTCCTCCAAATTTCCTGCTTAAACTGGAATCGACCTGTACAAAGGGCTCGAAGACTTTCTCTTGCATAGGCTCGGGAATTCCACTTCCGGTGTCCTGAACTTCAAACTCGAACATGTAGAGTTTGGCATTGAGCCGAGGCGGCGTTGGGGACCGCTCCCGCACATGGACGTGCGCATTTGCCTTGGGGCCCTTGTGGCTTGGTACAGCTGTAGTAGTACTGTCCTGAAGCGCCGAGGCGTGAGTCGTAGCCTTGGAAATAGATGATTGAGTAGAGCCTGAGCTTATCCTGTGCCAACTTTGTCCAACTCGAGTGGAGCTGTTCCATTGTGACCTTGCTTCGTTGCTGTTTCGCTCAATCTCGCCGACGCAGCGCATTCGGACTTCGACCCTGCCTCCAGCCGGTGTGAATTTCAAGCTATTGCTAACCAAATTAATGATGACTTGTAGGATTCGATGTTGATCGCCCCAGAGATACACATCCTTGAGCCGGCCCATTCCTGGCGGTCCCAGAGCGGGGAGTTTCTTGGCCTTTCCTTCCTGCTCTGAGCTCAAGAGCTTTTCGTCGCATTCGAAGCCAAGAAACGTAACTTCAAACGTGATGTTGCTCTCGCGTACTTGCTTATCGAAAATGGATATGATTTGTGATTGAATATCGCCTAAGCGGAACTCTCTGTCTTCGAGTCTAACTTGCTGGCTGATTTGGTTCTTGGAGAAGCTCAAAAGATCTTCCAGAAGGTGGAGCAGCAATTCGCCTTTGACTCGTTAGTAACCATGGGTTCTGGAAAATTTCATACTGCGGCAGACAAACATACCCGATCTGTAAAGAGTCTTTAGCGACTGCTGGATACGCACAACATCGTCGTCTTCCATGCAAACAGCACATATGCCCATGATGCCATTTAACGGTGTCTTGAGCTCGTGTGAGATGTTTGCAATGAATAGTGTTTTACTCTCGTTGGCGGCCTCGGCTGCCCTTTTACTTATCTCAAGTTCACGAGTTCTTTCGGCGACCTTTTCATCAAGAGAAGTGTACTGCTTCACGAGCTCATCCGTCATTTCATTGTACACTTGCGTAAGCTCCGTAAGCTCGTCGGTGACAAAGTGTTTTCGCTCTTCAACTCGCCCAGGAATCTTGAATATTCGACGATGGTTGTCAATCTCAGCCTGTGTCATTGCTCGTCGTCTCTTGTTGAACTTGCGACGTAAATTGGCAAAGAGGCCTTTGATCGAGCCGGATGACCTCGAACCTGAGCTAGGACTCTGCACATCATACTCGTCGTACTCCTCCTCGTATCCAGCCGGCCAGATGGACTTTTCTGTCGCCATCTTGAGTCGTCTGATGGGGCCAACGCTGAGGTGCGCACATGGGATAACGAGGATCAATATCAATGCGGCCGTGCCAAACACACAGCCAAGCAGAATCTGTCTCAAAGTACTAATTGGCGCATAGGCTTCGCCACCGGCTTGCTCTACCACGATGGCCCAGTCAACTAGAGCTGACTGAGGACGGGCCACACCCACCGCGACCGCCACGTCTTGCTCGTTGCTTGTGGACAAAAGTGCTCTGGCGTTGTTCGGCTGCGAGTTATGCTTGGTATAGTCTTTGAGCACCGCTCGGTATTGTGCAAGCGTAAACGGGCCATGGAAGTCGCCCGTGGCGTAGTCTCGCTTGGCATGGCGGTCAGCTTGCCCGGCAACGGGAATAGGAGGAAGGACGAATTTCACGGCTGAGGCTGCCAAGGCGTCGGCTGGAGGTGAGTAGGTGCTGTTAGAAAGCAAAATGGGAGGCAGAAAATGGTTAGATGGATGGGTTGGCCCCACAAGCAGAACCATGCCTGTCGATCCCAGACCCTCGCGAGTCGTCTGAACGTCGAAAAGGGCTCCAGCAGAAACAATTAGCGTCATGTAGCCAAGGATGAAGTTTCGCACGCTGAGCGATCGGACAGGAACCGTGAGTGACATGAGGGCAAAGGACTCGTTGATCATCAAGGGCCCTAGAAGAAGGCCGTCATTGTCGCTTATTGCGACCCCCGGAAAGGCGTAGGCGCCAAAGGCTGGGGTTGAGGGCTGGTACGGATTGGGATAGCCCAGTCTCCGATATGTAATATTCGGGTACAGGAGCGGCGGGTAACCATAGTCTGTGTCGCTGAGGTTCACTCTGGATCCGTTGGGGGTCAAATTCGGCAGCTGTATGTTCTCGGCCTGGGTACCGACGCCGCTGCCAGTGACGTTGAGAAGACCGCCCGGGTTGGCGCCCGTGTCGTTTCTAGAATATAATCTAGCCTGGAGGAGGCCAGTCAAGCGGCTGGTGCTCATGGCACTTGCCAAGTCGGTGCGGGCGGCGGCAAACGGATCAGTCTCGTCTTCATTGTAAAAGTTGACGAATGCCTGCTGGAGCAAGACGCGAGTTGCCAACGTCTGACTGATTGTTTGCAACAAGTTGAGCTCGGAATCAATCCTTGCAGCCTTGAGAGCGGCAGTTAAGGAAAGGCCGCTCGACGCAACACCAGTGACGAAGGTATGGACAAAAAACCATGTGGGAACAGACACAATGGCGAGGGCGATGAGGACGGTACATATGACGAGCGTTGCCAGCTGTTCTCGGATCGAGAGTCGCATCTTGATGGCTTCGCAACACGTGTGAGGGTTTGCTTGCCGGTAACGGCTTGTCTACGAGTCGCTACGAAGCATTATTCGGCGGCTTCAACGAGTGCGATTGAGTCTGACGGGAGCTGCTGCAGGGCGCCATGCAGAGGTGCGACTGCCGAGGACAGTTGATGCATCGAGCCAGCAAAACGCCGCTCTGTTCTTTCGCAACAGCTCGGTAGATTGGACCGTCGAGACGAGCGAAGGGGCGATGTCGTAGTCACGGCGTCGATCAGCACAGGCGGGGTGCGATTGAAGAGAGGGCGGCAGCGAGATCAAGACGGACGATCAAGGCATGGGAGTTGAAGTCGATAAGGGCAATTCTACCCCTGGCATGATGCCGCATGGCCGTATCGCATCACCGGCCTCGCAGGCATCTCTGAGCATGGAGAGCGAGATGTCGGTAGGCTGGCTGGCTTGGTGGCTTGGCTGCGAGTCACGGGGAGTTTTGTGCTCAACTGGAGGCGTCAACTGGTAGTTGCAGGGCGGATCAACAGCTCCGCCAACTTGTCGGCTTGTTGGCTTGATGGCTTGTCAGCTCACGGTTGATGGTTGGTGGTTGATGGACCGGGTTCTAGACCAGACCCTCTCGATTGTCTGGACCGCGGAGAAGGTCAACGATGCTCCTTCAGAACCAGACGCAACATGGAGGCTGGCGGGGTCTAGCGGGCAGGTGGCGGCACAGTCTAATTGATCAATGGCTGCATGTGCATGTGCATGTCTGGTGCGTTTAAACTCGGTGCTGGTTTAAGCAGCAAGCCATGTGGCGATGCTCAGCCAGCTTGAAGGGTTTAATGTATCTGTGAGAATCTACTGCACATGGTCCAGTTCCACGTTGACCCCAGATTCTGGCAGCCCCAGATCAAGCAAATTGAATTGACATGAAGAAAAAAAAATAGGACCAACAATTCCAGATTCGTGGGCGATCTGTGCACGGCGGGGATGCGGGCCGCTGATCGCTGATCGTTTGACAGCTACCCTAGATCCGGTCCGATCGCTGTGCTTGGTCCAATTTGTGAGGTCATGCACAGCTCTGCTGAACTTGTTCCAACATGGGATGAAAGAAGGTGTTACCGGCCAACACCACAGCGGATCAAGGCATGTGTCGTGGTAGCAGGGCCGCCGAAAGTACTACCTTCTCCACGATAGAGTTAGGGAGGGTTTATTTGGCCACCCTCCTGGCGGAATTGGCCACTTTTTTGTGGCTGGATGTGGCTGGGACAACCGATACCGGGCCCCCATAGATTTTTGTATGGGGATAACGTAAAAACTGTCTGTACGGTCGCGCCTTTATGAAAATCGGTCAAATCAATTGATTCAATGAAGCTATTCAGAGATATCTGTCGTGTGTGCCGGCTGTCGCATAACATCATCCATTGCAGCTGCCTGTTGAGTCATTTCTTTAATAAATTGATCCATTTCGCCTTTAAATTCAGCGGGGATATCATCATCCCAAATAAACGAGGCGTCTTGGCTGCCCCATTGTGACTCTGTAAAAGGTCGTTGTGAGGCTTTTGGCGATGAATTTTGTGGTGTTGAGGCCGGACTTCCGTCAATTATTTCATCGAAGGGCTTCCATTGAAAGGGTGAGAATGCACGAATTTGGCGTTGTGTGTTGTAAAAAGCTTCAATTTACAGCGTTGTTGCGTTGTGTTGTGTTGTGTTGTGTTGTGTTGTGGGCAGGTATCACGTGATGCGTTGTGTGCGAAGTTATGATGGTGTTGATGAGGTTGGCCTGTCTAAATCCCCTTGCTAATCACTGGTAAATTCCGACACCAGGCGCTGACAGGCACCAGCCACCAAAAAAGTGGTTAATTCCGCCAGGAGGGTGGCCAAATAAACCGTCCCTAGAGTTATTTAGGTAACATGCGAGAGTTGACTCAACACTAAACCCGCCCTAACGCCGTCAAATATGGAGGACCCGACCTAGACGCTGGGTCGTAGGGAGGCATCTGGGCATGTCTCAGCCATTGCGTATAGCAGTCGCATTCTGGCATCGTTATCGGTTAATCCGACAAATCCGTAGACGCCATTCGCGCCACGAGCCAATCAGAGGCGTGCCTGGCGCTCATCAGAGTCCCCACCTAAACTCACGTCCAGAATGTCCCGAGTTACTAATCCCAGACCTTCGTCCTCAATTAAAACACCATGTTTCTCATCGGTCTGGGGCGCCTCGACCCCATGCACAGGACCCTGACGCGCATGGGTTGCCAAGTTTGGTTGCAGACTCGAGGCCCTCTTTGATTCCTACTTGCGGCCTGGTGTGCCCTCATTTGCAGAAAAACACTAGAGATGGGCATGGCAAAGTGACTGGTCATGATGCCTTCGAGTCAGAGCGGACCATATCAACTACCTGGCAGCAGTGCGGGAGTCGAAAATATCATGATGCAGGTGGATCAATTTCATTTATGCCAGAAATTACAAACGCTCTCACGACCATCGACACAGCAACTCCTTCGCCCCTTTATACAATGCTCTAATAATGCTCCCATGCAAGTCTATAATCCGAGTGCCCGTCTATTTCGTTTTTTTTTAGTTCCAACGAGGATGTGTCACCGTCCTATGCCATGCGTCAAACCACGGAATCGGGCTCGGCCTTCCAGAACAGCCAGCTACAGGCAATGACGAGCTTAATTCCTGCCACTGTCCACAACGATGGGTCAACTGCGCCGGCCGCCTTGGAGATCCAGCCACCGCAGATGGCTCCCACCAGTGTCAGGACAAAGGCGATGAATCGGCGGTTGCGTTTGTCGTTCTTGGCCAGCGTGAACAATGCCGGGTCAGACATGAGGTCGCACAGCATGCTGGTGACCACGACCGTGGGAACCTCTCCCACCTTTAGTGTACGACTGCTGACAATTTGACCGGCTGCCTGGAAACTCAGCAAGGCGATGATGAGGAGCTCCTTGAAATCAACGTCGGTAGGAAGCCGTCTTGACGGGTAAGAGCCGTCCACGACGCCGCCCTGCACAATGGAGGCGGCGGCTATGACGAGGATTGCTTGGATGAGAAACGAGAGCATCATGATCCCCCGTCGTCTTCCGCCCAGGTACAGCGCAAAGCGAGAGAATGCAAAAGAGCCTACAATGAAAAAGGCAATCGAACATAGCGACCTAGCCCATCCATACGGCTTGTTGTTGTAGCCAGATGTGCCGAGGGCAACGAAAATCGTGTTTCCTAGAAAACATGGTGTGAGTCGTACCATCATCAATCATCTCAGTGAGACTCCTCCTGGCGCTGGGTGATGAACAATGTACCTGTTTGCATTGACACAAAGGTTCCGTAGGCTGTTAGGAAATGACAAAAAAAACCACAACACTCATGTTAGCCTACCGTACTTGGCGATGAAGAGCGGATACTGCGCAAACTAACCATTGTATATGGTGCCGTCAGTCAGACCTGACACAAAGCAACACGCTAGCATGGGCAGATAGGCCAATTTGAGGTCAACATTTTGCGATAATTTCCTGACAACTTGCTTCTCTTCCTTGCTCTGTCGGTCTGTGTCGGAGTCCGACCTGCCTGGGTTCTCCATGTTGAAATCTAGGGTGGCTCCCGAGAATGCACGTACGGAGTACAGTTGGAGAGCGATGGACAGGAGAACAGTGATGAGAGTCAGCGTTTCTGACAGCGGCCTACGGAGTAGAGGTGTCAGTTATGTTTTTTTTTTTCGCCAGTGCCTCCTTTCCCTCCCGTCCTTGACCCATTTCAACGGAGCGGGAATAAACGGAGTCACTTGAGCCTTCAGCCAATCCTTGGACGCAGGTCGCAAGAAAATCTAATATCGACCCGCTTTATGGGGCGGTTCCTCTTGGCCATGCCGACTCAACACTGGGCAGGCAAAAGGTGTGATGTGATGGTGCCCTTCTTTTTTTTTTTTCCCCTCAAATGAAAACAGCATCACGGAGACAAGTTGCTGTTGAACTCAACACGTTCGTCTCGTGGTTTCCGTTCTATTGAGTAGCTCATGCATGAGTTTCTGTTTCTTTGCCTGCCAAGGAACTTATGCCACGTAAGCCCTGGGGTATAGCACTGAGCCAAAGTAACCCTTTTCCCCCGAAGTTTAACATGTTGATGCAACACTGCGTTGCATTGGAAACGCTTTTCTCAGTCTGCAAGACCACTGACGCCTTTATAGAATTAGCATGCTCACATACCTACCTTATGGAGTACATTTGACAACTCGGGTTGCGGGCCGCTCATGTCCCACGCAACATCATCAACAACGTTAACCCAACGTCCATTGGTCATCATGGCCAGCATGGCGCTTTGCGAGGCCGCAATTATTGGACCAGCATCGACTGCCGCTGTGGCGGAGTTTCTTGGGTTTCTCCCCCCTCCCGCCGACGCACCTTGCCGGCCACCCGTGGTGGTGAAGCCGATCGCGACATGAAAAGAAAAGGGAGTTTTGGTATGGTAATACGTCTCCATCCGCATCCCGTGTTGGGCCGGGGTGATCAGGGTGATCGGGGCTCGTTGGTATATTAGCGGCTTTCGCCATGTGGAGACGGACGGTGGTATCATGGTATGTGGGTATTCCCGGCTATGGTTCGCGAGCATAGTTCGCAAAAGCACGGATGATGACCCTTGGCGGGAGTCCTGGGTTAGTGTTGGTGATAGTAGTACTACAACCATCAGCACCTACGGCTAGCCTCGACGCTTGGCTTTGGAGCCTGGGAATCTCACCATCTCGCATGAGCCATTCCGCCAGTAATCCCGAGCAGATTGCCGTGTTGCTAAGGCGTTGGACTTATCCCCGGCGTCTTGGCAGGGTGTGTGGTTGCGATATTCGGTAAAGCCTGTCGATGTCCGACGATTGCCAACCCCTGGCAAACCTGCAAAACATTCGGAGCAAAGAGGACATGACACATCTTGGCTCATCGGCGTCCCGTAACATCGTCAAGGTCTGACTGTAGAAGTTCAGCAACTCCTCCCTCTATCTGATAAGCTTACTTGCTAGCTCAGCCACCGAA